ATGCTTAGAAACCTGACTTTTGACCAGTGAATCATGGGTCAACCTACCAAGGTCTAGACTATCAACCGGGAGACAGTGTGGTTTGTAATCCTGGTTATTCTCATCATATTTTAAAATTAGCGGAGGCTAAAGATATTTAATAAGTCGATGTATTCCAAAGAAATTATATACTGTTTTACGACTTGGATTATAAATACAGGCTTGGGCATACTGTTATAAGTTGATTATTCGCGTAGTCAATTTTTCTTCTGATATCTCTTTGTCACTCTGCATGATCTACATTAAGATCTATTCGGCCTTTGAAATAAAGCTTCTTACATGCTTTCCGGCTTACTCTTAGGCAGCTAGTTGTGATAGGCGTTATAAAACATGTATTGCAACTGAACGTGACTGGTAATTCATGTCTGTCGCAGTTTCACATTGTAGTGATAGACTTTACTATTGCGACATGCTTTACGAATGTGTTACTATCGCTTCATTGATCTTTCATACTCTTAGTTTATTCTAGGAAGCACGAAAATCATATAACCATGGAGTATTGCGTAGCCTGGAAACATGGCTGTTAACGACTACTCAAGATTTGCGTGAACTTTGTGGATACTGTGCTTAGTCGAAAGGATTACTGCGTTTAATGACTAGTTATCGTCCTTGTAATTCATGCAACGAAACTCCTGACTGTCGTTATGAAGGTCGTAGGAAAGCTAGTTTTCCTGGTTAGTGTCTGAAATAGATCTAGAGAAAAGCCGTGATCAGTAGAATCCAATCCATGTCGAATGTGAGACAGTTATCCGCCTCAGGGAATGGATGAAGGGTCTTTCAAGATAACTAATTGATTAAAGTTAACACCGTTAGATGCCGACTCAGTGGTCGAGAGGCTGAGCGTTCGCGCGTGAGACTGGAGGTCCTGAATTTGAGTCCCATTTGCGGGGTCGTGGAGTCCTACACTAAAACGAAACAGCTATCCAGGTTTCCAATGGTGGTATAACATTGAACGATTTATGAAAGAAATGGTATAGTTTTAAGTAAATTATATTGATTTTCAAGTTTTGGAGGTTCATTTAATGGATTATCAGATTTTATTTTGGGTCAATGTTGAGTTAATTAAGTAAACCTATCTTAATACGCTATGATACTATTAGGCTACTTATCTGAATCTCGCTTAGTATATACAACCTTAATATAATTTGTTTTGCGTCAGTATTGAGTACATTTGATAACTGGAACTGATAAATGTACTAGTTATTTTATTTCAAACGGTGCATAGTAGGAGAATTAACTTTCCATATGTTCTATATCATTAGTCTACTGAAAAAAATTTCCCCAGCATAACAGCCTACTTTTCAGTAGGCAATTTGTCTGTTTCATAGTTCTACCACTTTTTCCGTTAAGCTTTTATGGATTGATGGTTGTTATTTTCTCTCATACTTAGTAACCTTTGACCACACACTTCGCTTGACCTGGAATCAATCAATAGACGAGTGATTTTGTAATTTGATATTCTTTAAAGAGTCGGAAAATAGAATCCATAATAACAAAAACAAGAGTTAATGTAAAATTTATCTAAGGAACTTCTTATGTTCTCATGATTTACGAATCCATTAACTCGAGTTGGTTTGAAAGTGAACTAATAATTTTATTCAAAGTTTTGCTTACATTTATTACCATTCTATCTTGCAGACAAATAATTTATGCATGACCCTTGTTAGCAGGATATGGATTGAGTTATAGGACGTTTCACACAGAATTAGGTTGGGGCACATTGATTACTCCATTTTTAACCAATCAGCATTCGTGGGTAAATGGTAGAGACTTCCTGTGTATAACGTGTAAATACACCACCACTTTTCTTATTTTGAAATCAACTTGCTGTTTTCGCTTTGGATTATGAATATGGTTTTTTCTAAGCCGTATCCAAATTTAAAGACCGGTCGAGTGAAGTAATGTCTGGGGAATACTAGACAGTAGAAGTAACTGGGTGAAATAACCAATACTTCAAAAACCTTAGTTTTAGATAAACAGCTCTTCTCAGTCAGAGTCATGTATTGTCCTTTAAGATACTGTTGAAACAGTCACTGTGTATAGAAATGTCGAGGTACTTACATTCACAGCATGTATTATTTCTTTTGAAGGTTATTTCATATCTGTTCAAAAGCGCTAATGATTTTAATTAATTATGGCTCCTTGGTATGTCAGGTCGCTGAATGTTCATAGTGCCTGGTGTGATTTGAATGATGAAATATCAATGACTTCATATAGTAGTATGGTTGTTATATACAAAATACTATGTTTAACTAAGCGTTTACTGATTACAGTATCAACTTTCCTTATCCGTCTTTATGCAAAAAAATAACAGTAAGACTCACTAGGATATTTGATATATCAATTTTTCATGACATATAATATCTAACTTGGAATACCATTCCTCAATTAACTGTTTACGATTCATTTTTGTATAAGACGGGTGGATACTTTCTCTTCATTCGCTTCAAATGCCATCGTGTTATCCACTTAACTACTGAGTCCTGATAACCAATTACTTGTTAATTTTATTTATTTATGTATTTGAACACATAAATATTGGTACAAGGGGGCACCAAATATATATGCGCCGCAATAATAATGAGAATAGGAGGAGAAAAAGAGTGTAAGGTGAGTATGGGAGAGAAGAAAGGAAAAAAGAGAATAATAACGACCGCAGATTAGTGTATGGTAGTGTAATATTAATATTAATAAAAATAGTGGAGGAGACGGAAAGGTACAACCAGAAGAATTCTTTCAGTTAAGGAAGATACAACTACTTTTTATGAAGAAAGTAAAAGCAGGTTACAGCAGCATCGCCACTGGTTTCTATTCTGAACCATATCTGATAACGTCTCTAGCCACTGTGTTGCACCATCTCTCGGACCCCAGCCAGGGAGTCGTGAAGAACCAACAGGAGTCAGCCCTTTGCAGCCGTCTTTCATACCACGACAACATGTAATACACTGACCACCTCTCCGTTTTTTTCTAACCAGTCGCAGCGTCAATAAATAATGCACGACGTGGAATTCTCTGGGACGATATTCGTGGAATATATCCAAGCTACCGAAGTCAATGTCTCAAGTTAGTGACACCGACTGAATTATCGTCGCTGTGCTCGAACACACGATGCCAAACCTCTGCATTACTAACATGGTTTTGCCACTGGATGTCAGCAATCTTTCGGAGACAACGATGATCGAACACAGAGAGTGGTCTAACATCCTCAACTGGGAGAGACCAGATCTTACAAGCGTAGAGCAAAACTGCTCTCACCGACGCATTGTAGATCTGACCTTTTACAACCAGGCTAACATCACGAAGACGCCAAAGATGGCCCAGATTGGCATAAGCCGCTCTGGCTTTCACTATACGTGCATTGATCTCATCACTCACGCCACCACCACCAGCACTTATGCAGCTACCTAGATACACGAACTTCTCGACTACTATCTGCTCACCATCCAGAGTGAGTACAGGATTAGAATCCTGCCAGTCTTGTTAAAGTACTTTGTACTTTGAAGTTACGTAGCACATGCTATACCTGCCGGCATTAATTGCCAACTGATTAAGTGCGGATTGCATTGCTTGGGTATTATCGCACAGTAAGACAATATCATCTGCATGCTCAAGATCGATAAGTATTTCTAGAAGCAACAGATCCACACCGCCATTACCTATATCTATCAGAGCTGTTTCCAGAACGTCATCAATGGCTAAGCTGAAGATGAGTGATGAGAATAAGTAACCCTCGCAATTGATTGATCATTGGGTGGTGTTCAATGTTATGTATGTCAGGTCTTTTTTAGTACAAATCAAATGCTATCAACCAAATTACAATATGGCCACTAGTCTAGGTGACTCGACATTCAACCCATTGTTATTTAAGAACTTCAATTAATCAATCTATTTGTCAATTAAGGCATATACGTACAGTATGCATATATGCTAATAACATACTGATCAATTGGATAATTTAAGTAAAACAATACCAACTGAATGATACAATTGTGGTGTGTGCTACTTATATAAACATAAGTAGTATATGATGTTAGTCGTGAACAGAATGTCTGGCAGCAGAGAGATCGAATAGTACAGAATGCAATTTGTATAAAAAAAATGCAAGAACAATGAAATCTAAGTCATTTTAGAGACAAATGATGAACATTTTGCAAATTAAGCATTTACTATTTGATTGTTAGATTTTACTAACTAGTTCTGTAATTTATTGTCAAATGCATTCGATTTTCCCCTAGTCGTGTTCTGTTTATTACACAATAACTATTCTAAGAGAAAAGTACTTAATAAGAATAACAATAACAAAAGGAATCATTTATTAAAGTACATAAAATTCCATATTATTATTATTATTATTATTATTACTATTATTATTATTATTATTATTATTATTATTATTATTATTATTATTATTATTATTATTATTAAAGTAGTCTAACCAACCATTTTTTTAAAATTACCTATTCATATAGATTATTACATGTATACATTGAACTATTTATGAAATCAATGATCTTAAAACGTTTAATAAGGATTCTTTTGTTTTGTTTTTCTTTTTTAATAAAAAAAAAGGATTCATACAATGAAACAGAATGAATAATTTTAATAGGGATATTAATTTGATGTATAATACTTAAAAATGTTTAAAATTAAAAACTAAACAAAACAAAACAAATGGGTATTTCACATTAGATGATTATAAGGAATTACTTATTAATCAATAAGGTATATTTAATATTAATATTAATAATAACAATAATAATACTATATTGATAAATGATTAATAATATTCCATTATGAAAATAACCGGTAAAATTATATAAATACAATTTAGATTGAAATAATAATAAAAGTAGAAGTTATAAAGGTTGTTTTTTGTTTAAAATAAATTATCATTATAATAAATTGAGTTGAATTTAAATGTTTGTTTTGTTTTGTTTGTTTGTTTGTTTGTTTGTTTGTTTTTAAGTGCATAATTGATGATGTTTTGTAGTACGTGATAAATGGATACTTAATTTTTGCATTTTATCCATATAACCTTTTAATTCATCTGTTAAATATTCACTTTCTATTTCTAATCTTTTTAAATTTGTTAATATACCTAAAATGAATAAAAAAAACAAAAACAAACAAATTCAGTTCTATATGAGGTCCTGATAAGCATAATGAATGGTAACTTTGGGACTAATTTATGGACAAATACTAAACGTATATTTTTATCGTATAATTGTTAAATAACTAAACTATTCATATTCATATTCCTCCTATTATAATCTTTGTTTTGACCTATGAACTATTATTATACGTTTTACCATTGTTGAATTATGCCCTGTCTATTAGTCACTGCCTCTCTCATTCTCAGCCACATTTGGCCAAATCTTGTACAAATGTTATTTCCTATTTTATTGGTCTGCTTGATTGGTATATAAACCGATAATGTTTGAAATACATGATTCATATCGCAGAGGCTTGGATAGGTGTTCTGGACTTAACTGGCTGGGCTAGGCGGAAAGCAGGATCAATCAGGACTCTATGCTGCTCATACGGGTAATAAAGTTTGAGTTACATTAGCAAGTGAGTGATAGATTAAGTTACATATGTAAAAATCGATTTTACTGTCAGTCAGTCAGCTACAACGTAGGATCAGCCACATATATGCATCAGTCCAAGTTGTCATACTACATTAGCACAACAAGATGAACATAAAATTCATAGAAGTGGTTAATTCAATGGTGGTAATATATAAAAGAAACATTGCGTATAAGGACATAATACGGTCTCCAACCATTGGTTACGATAGTCACACAGACCACATCCAAGTAGTTTGCATCTACCAACATGGCTACGACTAGAAGTGAATTCAAGCACTGATGCCACGTTTTGGTTTTGCTGCTCCTAACTTTCTTCCAACCATCCTCAACACTAGTCAACATTGAGCGTCGTGTTAATTGGTATTCAGGCATACGTAACACGTGACCCAGCCAGCTCAGTCGATGAACATTCACAACCTGATCAACTGATTTACCATCATTCCCTAATACCTTGCATCTAACTTCCCTATTGCTTACGTGGTGTTGCCAGTAGATGTGAGCAATATTCCTAAGGTATCTGTGATCAAATTACTGTTGCCTTACGAGTGCTTCTACCCTTCCTTAATGGCCACGTTTCACAGCCGTAAAGTAGAACAGAACGAACTGCTGCTCAGCATACTCGTCCCTTAATTGATAGATGGATATCTCGCCTCCGTGATAGGTGACTTAAGTTGGCAAAGGCCAAACTAGCTTTCTGAATGTGTGCTGAGATTTCGTCAGACACCAACCGATTAGGGCTGATCAGACTTCGAAGATAAGTGGAGTTGTGGACGCGTTCAACTACTTCACTCTCTATCGTTCTGTTGTTGACGCAGACCAGTGGTGGAGCAAGAACTTTCATTTGGATGGGGACGAACACATTCCAGACATGCTGGGATTGTTACTCAGTGCTACGAAAAGACTCTACATTTTATTAGTGTCTTCCCCAAACAGTACTATGTTATCTGCATATTCTAAGTTGATAAGTGGACCTGCTGGTAATTGATCGATGTCCGGGGATTCAGTGGACGAGAAGGTTATTTCCATCAGTGTGTCTATGACCAAGTTAAACTAAAATGGAGATAGTGGACAGCCTTGACGGACACCACTTGTGCTTGCAAAATCAGATGACAGTTCTTCATAAATTGTGACTCGTCTCGTAGTGTTCAAATAAAGAGCCTTCACAAGATTTATGTACTTCCAAGCTACGCTTTTCAATGACAGACTCCGGTTTTATTGTCAGTATGAATTATCAGGATTTCACAAGTTGGAACAGTTATTCATAAGGTTTTTATGTCCTTTACTTCAAACAACTTGTTATGTAAACTATATTAAACACCGGGAACTTGCTTACTTTACACAATCAACAAGTAGAGAATGCAGTATTCATCAATGATAGTTAAGTTTGTTTTCTCATCATGTTTTCAAAACTTCCATGAACATCTCTCAGAAATCTCTTACTGTTAGGTATATATAATTAAAAGTCAGTTATTTGAATGATCAATCTGCAGTGCTTTATTTATTGGCATAATGAAATAATAAAATTAAAAGAGTATACTTCATAACCGGTGAATAATGGATCATTTTACAGATTATTTTAAGCCTAGATAATCTTAAAAGTTTTCACACTTAGCAGTGTGCCGTCTTCTTGTACATGCATTTTGTAATGATGTATTTTAACATTAAACAATTAAGCAATTTCATACGCATGATGTACTGTTTGTCTATTATAGTTTGTGATCAGAATAGGGTTTGTGGAGACTGTAGTAATTTTAATAGTTGAATTCATGAGTCAATCTTAGCTAGACCACCATGGAAAACCTGAAAGCACTGGACAGCTGTTTCGTTCTAGTGTGAGACTCCTCATCAGTGCGCATCCACGATCGCGCATTCGAGCTTCTGACTCAAGACCTCCGGTCTCGCACGGGAACGCCTAACGGTGTTGATGTCTGGCTTCCATCCATCCATGAGTGGCTGCGCAACCGTTCATTCATTGTCTGAGGTAGATATCTGTCTCTTCCCGACACCGATTGGACTCCACTGGTTAATGCTTCTCACTAGAACTCCAGGAAACCATCTTGAAGCCAGTCACTAGTGAGGAAATGATGCTTATTGTCGAAATGGGGTTTTTAGAGATTGTAGCAATTTTAATAGTTGAATTCATTATTCCAGGTTTTCAATAGTGATCTAGCTTAAATCGACTCATGAATTCAACCACAACGACAAACATTAAGTAATTGTTAGACGTTTATCAGTCTATAATTTTGCCAATTTAAGACATAAAGGACCTTGATATTTACATTCGAATCAAGTAAACGTCAAGGAATCAAATAACGTTGAATTATTTTTAAACCAAATCATTCTCTAATTTACTTTTAACTTCATCTGTATTTAGTTCTAAAGTACTGGTATAATTTTGAATTTCTTCCATTAGTTTAGTTGGATCAGTTAATGTAGTATCTGGTAAACCTTCATCTCCAGTACCACGACCACCTGTATCTAATACACGCATCAATTTGTCAAGTTCTAACATTTTCTCGTCTAATTGCTTGAATGTGACCTATAATTAGAATGAATAGGAAAAAAAGCTATAAATTGTTAAAACTTGTGTATATTATCAAAAAAAACTTTTATATTTAAGATGTAGAAATAAGTTTGTTATTTAAACTATTCAGTTTACATAATAAAATTCTTTGTTACACTGTAATCAAACTCGATTGTCTGATGTCCTATTACTTATTACTGGTTCTTTGTGCTTTTGTTTAGGCTATTATTAATGGACATCAGTGTTAGAAGCCTTTTCGGTGAATTGATACATATATATTCTTTAATAAATATCCCTTTATAGTTCATCTTATCATGTCATTTGTCGAATTTCACTTCCATTATTTCTTGTTTATTTCCTTCAACTGAATTTTAAATTTTTCGTAAATGTTCACTTATCATATTTACTTAGAAAATTGTTTTAGAGGTTAATTAAAACAAAGCACATCTCAAAGTCGTTTTAAGTATCGTTTAAAATACAAAGTATACATTAGTATCGGTTAAATGATGAGACCTGAAACAAAGATTATCCATTCTCAGTTCATGCCTACTTGTTGCATCTGATAGCTCTTCAACAATAATACCACAAAAAGAGAAAGGAAGGAAGTCATTAATAATGGAGATTTCTGTTCTTGAGAGTCGGAATTGTGATACAACAACTCTGTATATAGTAGTAATTATGATTTTGCAACATAACGAAAACCGAAAATTAAGAGCAAAGTTAACTAATCAAGCAATAATAAGGGTCATTGTAATTTGTCAGAACTAAAGTTTATTGGCAGTAATAATGAAAAATAAGATCATCTGATACTTTCCTAGCAGTTACTCATTAGAGCGATTTAAGAAACTATAAATCGATTTCAGATTATCTAGACAAACAAGAAATTATATCGGATGTTTCCAAAATCAAATGTACTGCAAGTAACCATATCAAGCATTCGGCTGAAAACAGCAGACTTCATCATTCAACACGAATCATTTTGATAACAATTTACCAACTGAAAGACGCGTTGATAGTACAAATATCCTTTGAAATCAAATCATTGATGACGAACGACATACGAAGCAAATCGTTCGGACGCAATGAGGTCATTGAATAAGTGAGAATAGGATTAGGTATAGTGTAGTAAATTTTAAATAACCTCTTAACTTGAGAATTTTCGTACAACTATGCTCAATCGGCATTTGCATTGAACCTTCAAGAGTCACAAACAAATCTCTACTCCGTACAATAATCTTTCGTTCCAGAATTACCCAAGAATCATGGATTCTGATGTACTTGCTTTTTATTTAGTCAGAATATAAATACTTTTAAAAATTTACTAGCTACTGTGATTTCTTCGCCTTTGTGTTTTTTTCCAGATTTGTATGACTATTGTCAATATCCTTTATACAAAAGGTCGTAAGTAATGTAATGACCTTGATAGACAGTATCCGTTGATGAGAATAATACAGAAATAAAAGTGTTACAATATTTTTACAGTTGGAAAAACAAGTATGCTAGAAATCATTTGTAATATGTACCTACAATATGAAAGATATGTGTCTTCTCCCTAGGTTTTATTGTAATCCCCCGAAAAGCTCCCAAGACAACAGAAACTTACTGTTTTCATCTCATTCGTGCTTATTCATTAAGGATCAATTGCTGAAATTCTGAGTCTAGTCTTAATAGAATTTCAGTGTTTGATAAAAGGTCTTTGGTAATAAGATATGATTGAAACATTTTTTCAATGGTTTATTCTTTTAAATAAAGACCTAAGATTTACTATTAATTATAAGCAAAGAAAATGGATCTTTTTTTTATAAAATAAATAATATAACTTACTTCAGCAAGTTCAATTTGTTGTAATGTATCTAAAGTTTCACGTCTAGCAACATTAGTACTTGCCAGTAGATCATCTGCTACTTCAGAAGCCTCTTTCGCTTTATCCGATTGTAGACTTGAATCACGTGAGAACATAATAACTTGGTTTTTGAATCCATCTATTTGTTCAGTTAACTAGGGGAGATTGAGGTAGAAAGAGTTGAATAAATGTATAAATAGTTAGATTAGTAAGCTTATTATCAGTAAATTATTTCAATATTGTTTAGTATCAATTATGTAATTATTAGTATTTATTACGTACGATACTAGGGGAAGATATTTCCCCTGTGTTAGCTGGACAGATTGGATTAAAGATTGGTCAATCCACGATTGCTTTGCTGCACGCTGATTGGTTAATTCTTACCCAATCAGCGCTAGTCGATGCTTAGAGAACACTAGAATATTCTCATGTGAAAACTATAAATATACTAACGTTTTTCCTCTTGTGCTTTTTACTTCCATCGAATCTTGTTATTCGGAATATAATCTCTTTCCTGTTCAACTGTGTTCTGATTTGGGCACTTTGTCGAGTGAATTGGTGTCCAAGAATACTAAGCAATAGGAATAGGTGGGTTGTAATGAGAGATTTATAACACTCTTAAATATTTCAATTCTGGTAGTAGGAGACTAATCATTCAACATTAACTAATTAATTCATCAAATTACAAATATATGCTTAAATATAGTGTTTACTAACTTGGGTAATTTGATCGAATAATTCAACGTCATCAACCTTTTGAATAATTGGTTTCTCTTCTATTTCTTGATAGATTTTATCAGCTTCTTTCAACTGATTAATTTGTTCCATGAAATCTTTTGCTTTATCTCTATACATAGAAAAAATGCCATGAGATGAAAAATTTATGCTAACACATCATTTCTAATATAAAATAATAAAGCTTTTGAATTGTATATTAATCTCTATCAGTGTTTTCATTTTGTAAATACATAGTATTGCTTGTTAGAGGAAGTCGGTAAGAAGTTCTGGCCTTAGATTTCTAGGCACCCGTCACTGGCAACATTTCAAGCTGTGAGGTTCGGTAACGCGAATTCGAATCCCATAGGCACCATCAATTCCTTCAAGATTGAGGGTATGCCTTGCTGACAAGTGTCAACTAGCACAAAAGCTGAAACAAGCAGAGTTTTTTATTGGTTACTTTCAACCATCTAACATCTCAACATAGTACACGCGATGTCAATTCATTTAGACTAGTGGCCAAGTTGTAATTATACCGATCGGATTTAATCAATACTAAAGAACCACATGAACATGATATTGGTCACTATTCAATGACCAATCGATTGCAAACAGTTTTACCTTTGATAAATTAAAATGTTTCAAGGTATATGTGAAACGTTAGTACGACTTAACTTTTTATATGTTCAGATTACATTCATTTATTTATAACCCAATATTCACTTCAAAGGTGAATTAAATATGTAACACGTAGAAACAAATGACACAAGTCACATCAAGATTTCTAGCAAGAGATTAACTAATATCGGACTTTGAGATTCCAGTGAACCCGTTATTAGCTATGTTAATACTATATTGACCTCTGAGGATGTTTTATGATATTATTATTGTTCATCCAATAGTTGACAAAAAACTGCAATAAAATTGATAAATGTAACGATAAAGCAGGTTATATAACTGGATTAATTACAACTTAACGACCTGGACTGTTACTACAACCAGTACAGTATATATTATGTAACTAGCTATATTTTACATGTATGCTGTAGAGAGTTCTATTTAAAGTTCGTATATAGTCAATAATATAGATATAATATGAACATTTGCTACAAGAAGCAATATGTACACCAGTTAATGAGTAAGTTGAAGGCCTTAAATTATCATTAATCTGTTCAATAATTTTTCTAAAGCAAGAAAATGATAATAGCTTTAACAGTAAGGGTTCCCTTTTCGGCCTTAGTAATCTGAACGTTAAGCAACTATTAATGAACGTTAGATTAAAATTTTAGCCAACGGAAATATCAACGGTCGACTGTAGTGGAAATAATCAAGTCATACGATAAATACATTACTGATCTTTCGTAGGATATAATGTAACTATAGCTAGCCAATTAGGAATGTTTTGTTTCATAAACAACGTCTACACTTAAAAACTATGCCTTTTTTTAAATATCAAGAGTCCTAAATGGCTGATTTAATAAACGTGATGTTATAATGACATGATTCCTGTTGCTTTGGTAAAAAATAAACATGTGAGAACTTAATTTACCATAGAGTAAGATGTTGATCGGTTTATTGATTCATATATAATTATGTTATCTATATGTCTCGCAAAAAGACCAACAGAGTAATTTAAGATTATTGGATCAGTCTTATAATAAAATTTGCTTATAAGTATCAGTATTGCTCGACTATTTATATTATACGTCAGTCCATTTCATATAAATAACCATTAACAATTCACACAAGTCAAAAGATCAAAATTTCAACTTAATATTTTCTTAGTGTAAACCTTGAAATATTCACAACAGTTCATGAAATTGTTGAGCAAATGGGAATGTTAATACAAATAATCAATTATGCATAATATTTTCTCTCAACGTACTTACCTAATAGTTTCAGCACGTCTTAATAAATTCCCAGTACGTTGACGATCCGATTCAGTTTCGGCTAAAATACGTTTCACTTTATCCTCTAGGTCTATAGCATATTTTTCTAATTGTTGAATTATCTGTTCTGCTTCATTTAGACTAACATTCAATTTTGCATTTTGAAGGGATCTTAAAATCTAACAAAATATGAAAAAAAATGTTTTAGAGAGATAAAAACATAATTTATCCAACTATCCAATATCATAACGACATTATGACCGTAAAATAACCTCTCAAATTTAAGGATATATCGGTTACTTGCAGATTGATCACGAATATTTTCGAACTGCTGTTCCCGTATAATAGAACCATCATTTGTATGATAAAGAAATTTAGCTTATGAGATAAGATAGAGATGATAAATTTGTTGCTTAGTTATTGAACTTTCATCAATAGAAGCAGTTAGAACATATCCCATGTATGTATTGCATATCTTACAGTTTTATATCAACTAGATAACTTGTCTAAGAGTTAGAAAAAAGAAGTTAAATCTTTCTTTATCTTATTCTTAAACTTTCCAATTTATCTACACCTAATTTATTGAGCGCCCCCAAATGCCCTGGTACGACCGAGAGTTGAAGAAGTTCGCTCTCTTTTTCGAAATGCTCTCACACGACTACGCGTATACATCCACAGACAGGGAAATCCTACTCACTGCCTTCTCGCGGGATTACTATTGACTACAAAATTGAGAGGACGAAAAGAGAATGTCCGGCGCTTTAACTAGATTAGTGGTCACGGAGAGTCCACCTAGAGGAGTTGGACTATAAACAATTATTATTTCAATAATCCTTATTGTAGTGATGTTTGTTTGCTTTTTTCTATGTATGTTTTGTCAAAATGGTCTGGTTGAACTGGAATAACTAAAATATCTATTGAATTAGAATTCTAAGGGATTAAATAATTTCTATCTCTTCTAAAAAGATTTTTAAGCAATGAAAACTGTATCCTCCGTAGATGATAGTTAATCTAAATATGCTTAACTGATGTTCTTAAAGATTTATCTAGTATACCAACAAAGTAATTTTAATTGAAAAGAAGTCACTTGGGAAAAAGGAAACTTCCGAAAGCTTAATCCAACTGTATAAATGGTGTGTTTTGTTTTACCATGGTGGGTTTATGTTTCGATGAAATTTTAAATAGGTAAATAAATGTCTAATAGCTGGGGATAAACTCCATATTATCAAGTCATCTAAGTGTATCACAGTAATTAAAGTTATGTTTTCATTTATTTAGTCACTCAATTGTAGATATTATGGAATAGTTTTTATTATGAAATTTAGTGTAGTTTTCTTTCATCATGACTGACCACGCTACACTTGACACCACCGTAGCATGATAGAGTAGTATTTTCGTCGTAGAAAACTTTACATTTTTTCCTTTAATGCAGCAAAAACAACAGAGAACAGAAAGCGCCGTTCACCACAGACTACGATAGTGTAAATAATAATTTCCGCTTTATTTTGGTTGATTTCCGTTTGCGAGGTGAAAATTGAAAGCGAGAGTGGAATTTGTCCTTAGTCATTTCCTACAATTACCTGTCTGAATGTGTAATGACGTCTGGCAAAGGATTAAGTTGGAAGAAAAGTACGTGCAACTAAACTAAAACTTGACATCAGTCTATGAAGTCATTGACAGTTGAACTGATCTGTGTAGACAAATGAAGATTAACGGATTGGATTCTGCTCGATTATTGTAACCATTTGATTCCAGACGTTGGAAAACAATTCAATAACACAGGTGTATTTACGTTTTATCTTTCTTTAAAATATGAGTTCTTAAATTACCTTATACTTTATTTGTTTCGCGAATTCATTCTCACAAATACCATATTGTTTATACTTAGTCGTTCAAACTACTAATAATATTGTTCTTAATTCCGTTCTGATATTCGTCTTGATTAATTCATCAGCTTATAGTCCTGATATGATGTTAATGACTGATTAACTAACAGCATAAGTTTCATGAGATGAATAGTAACCAGTGATTAATTAACAAGACAATCTATTACACCGAATGTCATTTACATTTTTGGATAAAAACATTCATTTATTATCATTATCGTTATTGTTATTACTATTATTACTATTCACTTGGCATTATTTACTCGAATCTTTCCAGTGATGTTTAGGACTGCAATTGATCAGTCTCTTATTAGTATATGTGCATCTTGTGCGGATTGCGTTGATGAAGCCCTAATTCACAAGTATTATATGCAAAGATGGATAGTGGCTAGCAGTGGAATCCACGACACGCGTTTCGTCCTATTTGGGACTCGTCAGGTGGATGTACCTGTATCTCAGGGTTGATGTTCACTTTGGGACTCGAACCCAGTCCCGTTTGCTTCAAACGTCATCGCGTTATCCACTTAACTACTGAGTCTTGATAGCCACTTGCTTGTGCAATGAAGTACATCCGGCTGATAGGACGAGATGTGTGTCTTGGATTCCACTGCTAGCCACTACCCATCTTTGCATATATTATTATTATCAATAATAATCTACAATAATGAATTCAATATATTTGACTTACTTCATCGAATTTATCTTGTCTCATACTGCTATATAGATTGACATATTTTTCAGCTTCATTTATTAAATTATTTGTAAGATTATACATATCAGCTATACGTTCTTTTATAGTTATTGCTTGTGTAGTTAAATTTGTTACCGTTTGTTCAGCAATTCTACGACTTGAATTTACCTGTTATAACGATGATAAATGAAATTATTATTACGTAATGTGTAAATATTTGACTTTTGAAATAAGAAAATAAAGTTGTTTAATTTTAAATCATTCAGAGTTTTATTGAATAAGAAAAAGAGAATTCAACGAAAAAAAATTCTCTTTTCAAGGAAATCATTTACTAAAGCTGGACATTCGTATATATATATATATATATATATATATATATATATATATATATATATATATATAGTTATATCTAAAATATATGTCTATAGGAGGATAGAAAAGGTTGCATCATAAATTGATTTCAGACTAAATAACAGATGAGGTTACGCAATAATCATTGTTCGTCTGAATAACATCACCATCATCACAAACTTCAGGTAGAAGTGAAGTGTTCGAAGTTCTCCGTATATGACTCAAAATCTATCCTTTAGACCTCGATCTTGATTGGCTATTGTTAACCTTTAATCAATGGGAGATATAATCAGAATAAAGAAGTACACAATGATAAGTTAAAGGTCAACACTAACCAATCAACATTGATTTCGACAGGATAGACTGTGAGTCATATGTGGAGAACTTCAAACTCCATTTCTACCTGAAGTTTGTGATGATGATGTTATTCAGACGAATAACGAAAGCTCCACGACCAAACCATCCAGCTCAGAGAAAGAAACTCCATCCAAATTATCCAACTGATGACATCTTACCAACAGTTAAACCAAATCGAGTGTAATTTTCTCTCAATTATCTAGCATCAAGTCATTTGTCTAATAGTAAACTAACACTATCAGAAGGAGTTTTGTGGAGATTGTAATAATTTCAATAGTTGAAATCATGAACCAATCGATGTTAAACCACCATTGAAAATCTGGAAGTACTGGATGGCCATTTTGTCCTGTTGTGGGACTGCTCAGAACTGCTCATCCACTTTGATTTTACACTGATCAATACATATTTTTAAAATCTGACAAACAATTGGTTACCGCATCATTTCTCTAGTTAAATTCTTTAGTTTTAATGAAATCAATAAACTTAGGTAGTTTATTAACTAATTCATACTGAAAATGATTTAAAATAAATCTTTTAAACAAATCGAAATTTTGTCCAAGAGAATTGTTCATACGTTTCTACTAGGTGATTAGAGTGATTTCATTGAATTATCTAATCATTTGTTAAACAGATTATATTCAACCGATGTAACTATTAGTCATAAGTTGATATAGAGTTTTGTATACAATATATATAAACAGTTATTAATCACTTCTTTTTATGTGTTAAAACGTTGGAAAAATTTGATTGGAACCCTTTAGAGAAACAAAAGACATTGATATGTAAACGGTATACTTTTTCCCAATTACTTTGTATATCATATCTTTAATGTACTTAGTGATGCATACATAAAGAAACCTAGATTTGACGGTTAAACCTATCAATCTGAATAAAAATAATAAATAGTGCTCACGAGCGAGACCAGTAGGTCCTGGATTCAAATCTCGCAAGGCAGGATCTTGGATGCGCACTGCTGAGTAGTCCCACAATAGGACGAAACGGCCGTTCAGTGCTTTCAGGTTTTTCATGGTGGTCTAGCTTTAATTGACTCATGATCTCAACCAGTAAAATAGAAACTTCTAATGTGTATAAGAGTTTCGATGTAAATTTTCAGTTATAAACAAGTAATGAATGCAATCAGAAAAAAAAAAGAAAAGAAACAAAACGAAACAAACAAATATAAATAGTTTTCATTTACCTTTGATATAACATTTTCAGCTCTATAAACATTATAAAGTGCATTAGTTAAACGAATTTGAAGATTTAAATAATCTTCCATACGTGATCTTAATCTTCCAGCATTACTTGCATTACATCCAATATTTACACCACATGTACTAATTAGACCAGTATTTAAATTATTATTCATTAATATATTTGTAGTTGTTGATATTGTATTGAGATTTGATAATTTTGAAAAAAAATAATCACATCCAGCACCACCACATGTTGATGGACATACTTTTTGATCTGTATCTTCAGTTGGTGATAAACTATTATCTCCACAAATCTAAAGTAATTCCAAATATTTTTTTGGAAAAAAAATTTAAAAGAGGGGGGGGGAACGATGATGTTTATGAAATGATATTATCATTTTAAAAATCCTAATTATAGACTTTTATTTAATATATTCAAAAAGAATAGAGAATAAATAACATTTCAGGTTAACAAAATATCAAGTAATTTATAAGGATAGAGAAGAAATATTGCAAATATGAAATGTTTTAAGTTGTTTATAGTATATATGTTTAATAAGTGCTTAGTAAACGTTTAAACTTAGGGTATTAGATAATAATGGTAAATCAGTTGATGAGATTGTGAATCTTCATCGACTGAGATGGTTGGGTCAAGTGTTACGTATGCATGAACGCCATTTATCACGACGCGCAATGCTGACTAGTGTTGGAGACAAATGGAAGAAAGTTAGGGGCGAGCAAACCAAAACGTGGCATCAGTCATTGAAGTCAATAGCTTCTAGTCTTAGCCATGTTGATAGATGCACACTACTTGGTTGGGGTCAGTGTGACTATCGTGACCAATGATAGGGGACACTGGGTGATATGGCTTGGAATCGATTACAATGGCATAGGTGTATACACTCTCTGTCTTCCGTTAAACTATGGGATTAAAATTGCTTTATATCTTTCTTTCTAGAGATTAATTCTTTCTTCCTGTACCATATTTTTATATGCAATGTTTCTTTTACATATTACCACTACTGAATTAAATACTTCTATGAATTTGGTGTTTATCTTGTTGTGCTAATGAGGTATGGTAACCTGGACTGATGCAAATATGAGTCTGATCCTACTTTGTAGCTGACTGAGTAGTAAACGTTTGTTTTATGGTATTTGTATTTAATATTAATCATACATTCTCTTTTGACTCATTCATTAACTGTCTTTTTTTGTCCGTAAATTAAATTAAATGAATTAAAAATGTTAGTAATGTAAAACATTGAATATCGGATTCAGTAGTCTAAAGATTAAGTTCTCACCACGAAGTTTGTATGGCATGATGGGGTTTTGGTTGATTAACTAAGATCAATTAATAGTGTAAACTATGAAATAATGATAAATATACTAGTGGACATCCTATCAAAAATGTGCTTATCGATGAATTATAGTATTCTTTTTACTTAATTTTCCACATAAGTTATAAGTTCATATAAAGAAAGATACTGATAACAATTTATTTGAACCTTTTAATTTTCTGTTTAAGAGTTTTTGGATGCATAACTTTTCATGGTTCACTAACCGTTGTGAATACAATCACTCTGATAGTGGAATTAATTTATTTTTTTTTAAAATCCATTTGCACTTTCTATTCTCATTTCCTTTTTGTTTGACTAACTTTTTGCATATTAAATTATACTACTTGTTAATATTTAGTAACTCACGTTATTGATCATCATTTTTATGGCATTCCATCTAATTGTGATATTTTGAATTATTTACATGAACTTGTCACAGTTCATTTATTTATCATGTTTATTGAAAATCCTTAGCATACTTAATAATTACTTTCACCTCATGTATACTCGTCTAAATTTGTTTATTTGTAATAATGTATATATTATGTGTTCTTATTTCACGTTTCGATTGTTGGCAATCGTTGCGAAAATGACACAGTTACTGATTGTTACATATTTGTTTTTGTTAATACTTTCTATATAACCAACCTAGGATTAGTTTTCTCTTTGACTGTACATTGACCTGCGAAACACATCTGACCTCTTTTGAATTGGCACTTGGAAATGAATCACTTTTGTTCGATTTCATAAAAGTACTTTGATTGAAACGAATCTCATGTTTTTGATTTCGGGATTTCTACGCGTAACTTTAGTCAGAAGTATAGAATGAAACTAATTAAATATATAAATGTAGCTAAATAAGTGCTAAATTTTATAAAGCATTTGAGAAAAAATATACATACCAATCTATTGGTTTGTCGAATTTTTTCACGAAATTCTTCAATTCGCCTATCCAATTGTGCCCAATCTGAATTTAACTGATCTGCACGTATTTGTACAGCTTCTAATTCACGTTTGGAGTTTAATAATTCACCTTGTAATCCACCACGTTGATATTCTATACTAGTTTGTGTGTTTATAACTCTATCACCAATATCTTTTGAACGTAGAATTGATAAATATGCTCCTATAAAATATAAAGTTTATTTAAATTCTTTCAAATATACCTGACCATATACATACTCTACATTGAAGCTTTTTTATGCTTATGGATTTTAATAACGATAATAATACTTATTAGTAGTAGTATGGTCTACCTTTTTTAGTAGACTAGAAATGAAGTTTAGGAAATTCATTATTATAAAGTCAAAAAATTAGTTCGTTTAGACAAAAAGAGAGATTGAAACATTACACGTCTCATAAAATGTGTGTCGTTACAAATTTCAGATCGACATATCAAGTAGTACTGAAGAGACTGGTTTGGGTTTCAGGTCAAATTTACCACAGATTAATCTTAGTTTGGGTGCCGTTGGAAGCTAAGAAGAAGTATAATCGTCAGCTTACTAGCTACTTCAAGATTTTTGTGAAGTTTTACCGAGTTGTGGCTGGTAGGGTCCAAACATGTCGAGAGTGATGTAATTATCAACAACATCATTGGATGATCATTACGCTACATTCCGAACTGATTGAAGTTGAGATTTTACCACTGGATACCAACAAAGTGGATCTAATCGTTTTTTGGATTTGCTGAAAGATCTGAAGGTTCTGAGCTTGAACCCTAGTGTGAGCGGAAACTTCTGAGTAGACCCACACTAGGTGGAAAAAGCTGTCATATGCTGCTTGGTTTTCAATGTTAACTTAGATCAGTCTGTGGTGAATATGACCTATACAATGGAGAATAACTATGGAGATAATAATAAATCTCAGAAAGTGAACACAATCTTGTCGAAGAAGAACAGAAAATCAGAAGAGAAACAATTAAATGCATATGTAAATGAGCTACTTTAAAACTACGAAAAACACCAAAGGTATCGACATTCGCTTTACTACAAACGATCTTGTCATTTCAAGTCTTTAGCCATCACTTCCAATTGTCTTTCCTAATAGTTTCACCATATAAAAACATTGATTGAATATTCTCATCCTCCACTTTAGTAACCCTTGGTTTGGAGCTGTGAAATAAAACGAGGTACAATTGTACAAGATAATACGTCAATTATACACGTTTAGATATCTTGCCTACATCATGTGTTGTATCATTTTGTAAAACAAAATAAATTAGTCATTTGTATTCATTTTGAGAGTTTTTAGTCCATTTGCACAAACAACAGTTCTACAACAAACGATGAAACTATAGCGTTCACCGCTTCATTTTATTTTACTCAGTAAATCATTGATGTAGCCCATTTGTAAAACATTTATTCCGATAGTTAATCACAAGTTGTATGTGTTTTGGCTTCAATACAATGATCTATATCACGTGTTAAAATCATTAAAAAGAATTCTAATTGTTAATTTTTCTACTCCTTGTCTATTATTTCTTCTGTAGCCTAGTTTCATAGACTTGACCAATCATACGTTTGAACCTTCATCGTTAATCTTGAACTGATGAGACATTAGCTCCTATTAGTCCGCTACGATCAAGTCTATTTCCATTCTTTGTCCAAAGAGAGGTCAGCAGCCAGCTTTTACTAAACTCAGATCAATCATGGCTCATTACCCACATAATAAAATAAAATATTAACAACACATCAAAATAATCAAGAAAATACGTTAACGGTATAACCACATCATAAGTAGATGAGAACTGTGTAATAGGTCTGTAATAAATTAACAGTATTTTATGAAAGGTACAATACACAATAATAGTTCCTTCATTACAGAAAAGCTTACAGGTAAGTTAATACCAAAACTACAATAACTTAAGTACGTAATAATTATACAACAGAAATATAGGACAGTATCAAAAGTTCAAATTTCCCAATACTCATCCCGTTATGAAAGCATAAAGAACGACTACTAATTTATAATATTATAATTTCTTCAATAGTGTTATGGCTAAGAGGCGACCCCTGTGACAATAAGGTAAATAGCGCAAATGACTAGACCATGTTATAAGAAGAGTTGTTACATTTCAACATTTGTTTTGAAACTATGTAGGTTGGCTAACTGAAAATTTCTCACTAATGAACACATTTAGATAGCTACAGTCAATAAAAGAATTCAGAATTGTTGAACAGATGTTTCCAGCTAAGAGAGTAAGTGTTACTATACAGGAGCAGAGTGGTGTAAAATATTAAAAGCATACATATTTGGTGTCATCTTTAGAACAAGTTCAGCATTGAAACCAGTTACAATGATAAAAGAAAAAGAACAAGTAACGATTAAAGAAATTAAACAAGGAAGTCTAATTTATGAAACAAACCATATCAACTGTGAAACGTTTTTCAACCAATGATACTTGAAGATGGTTGAGGAATATCACAAATTGACTGAAATTAGAAACTTAAACCATTGGATCCTGACTGAGTAGTCTAGTGCTTGACTCTCTCCATGAGACCTGAAAGTCCTAAGTTCGGTCCTCAGTAGAGTTGTCGATGTGCACTGATAAGGAATCCCATTCTAGGATGAAACAGCCGTCCAATAGTGTTTCTTAGTTTTCAACGGTTGTTTAACTGAGGTTAGTTCATGATGTAAACTATCAAACTAAACAATTTTCACAAACGTCTTACATAAATAAAAGTGATTTTTTACTTACCTTTTTGATCAAGATGTTCCAATTTTGTTGATTCATCCATTATATTTTGCACTTGTGTTTTTAGTGTTTCAAGACGTGCTTTTGCTTCATTCACTAGTCCTTTACGCTCTAACTGTTGAGCAAATCTCTCAGTTATTAAATCATCCCATTTTACTAAACTATCAGCGAATTGATCAAGTGAACTTAAACGCATAACAATTTCTCTAAATAAAGCGGAGTAAACAAATAAGATTAAGGTGAATAAAAATAAATTCAGATCTCTGTTTTATACTTGTGTAAAAGTGTGATAAAAGTGAAAAAATGTAATGAATACTATATGGATAACGTTGTGTTGATGAAAACATTTTGAAGGAAAATAGTTTGGTCGACCAACAACAATGTAACAATTGATTCGGTACATTTACTTGGGTAAAAAATAGGGGTAACTCAGGGTTAATAAAGTCAATGCCTGGGAACAGGTAGGTAGTTGTTAAAAAACCATGCTTGACTTGAGCTTTGTGCTAGTTTCCACTCAACAACAAGGTTCAGTTGCAGTCTTGAGGGAACTGACAATCTCTGTTAAGTTCAAACACTTGTTACCCGGCTTCACATTACCACTAAGTTATTCAAATCCCGACTGACATAGTGTAGGTAACTAAATTAATGGCCATATTATAACTTGATCAGTAGAATATGGTCAGCACCAAGGACTAGAAGAATATGGTATTGGTTGATACTTAGTGTTCAGTCAATGCAAGCATCTCAGTTCTTCTGGTAGTTGGCCACGAACAGAATAGCTCACTGGTGGCGTTTTACACTGAGAATTAAATTGAATCAAGTTAGAATTCTACAGTGAGTATCAATCTCCTCAAAATTGAAGGTATACCTTGCTGACCAGTACCAACTAGCACGAAGCCTTGACAAACCAAAATTCTTCAAAAATCTGTCCACAACCCACGAACATCAATTATTATTTTGCAAATAAATATATAAAGTAATCATGAGAAATACTAGATTATTGATAAACAATCGCTGAATAAATTTTTGTGATCACTTTTTTGTCCATATATAATTTGTAAAAACCAGACATGTTTGTTTACGTCATTATACACTAATCTATTGTCCAAAAATTCGACGAGAAACCTTTTATGACTAAGACGTCGGTCGAAATCACTCGCTCTATTCGTAAACCCGAAATCCGATTATATTTTTTGCTACTCCTCATATGCTATTCCGTCTTTAGCCTAACGTCCTTAGCCTAGACCAATGCGATGATCCACTCGACACGAATAATCTCGAGCTAACGTAAGCTCAGATCCTATTGATCTGATCATACACAAACATTACATTTCCAGCTCTAATCTCAAGATGTGATGACAGCAGCCAAGTTTCCATTATCATTTATTTCAAGTACTCATGGGTTTATATGTAGACATACCTAACCATATCACACCATAAATTAGAAAATTATACTTACGCATAAACAAACCTAAAATGGTAGTTAGATCGAGCAAGTTGTAGATGATTGATTTAACAATAAATTAGGAATAATGAAACGAACAATAATAGTTATTGAATTGAATGGGAGTTTGTAATAAACAGAATATATTAACATAGTAGTCCGATTGCATAGTAATTGTGAAATAAGAATATGTAAATAATAATGATAATACATATCATAAGCAAAGATGGATAGTGGCTAGCAGTGGAATCCATATCATAGTTTCGATATTTACCGCTTCTTCAGTATTCGCTTAACTATAACAACACAAGTGTCTATAGCTCTCTGGTTCCTTGATTAACGGTAGTTTATAGTAAAAGTTACACATTTATCGATGGATAAAATAATAATAATTTAACTAATGTATTATTATTTCAATATCTAGCTGGATTTCCATGAATTTGACCTTTTGGTTGATCTAACTAGCACTTAATTTATCTGAAAGTAGTTTAATTGAAAAATTCCAGGATGTCATACAACAATTATTGTATCAAAGTTTTAGGTGTTTCCTTCACACTATGAAGGTCATTTCCGTTAAACAGGGATATTAATCAAATCATTTTATTATTATTATTATTATTATTATTATTATTATTATTATTATTATTATTATTATTATTATTGTGCTCAAACATTTATGACGAACGTGTGTGTGTGTATTTTTGTTTATTAATAGTAATCACTTACTCGCTTCGTTTTAATACATCACGGAATTCATTCAATCTTGCATCATCTGTTGTCATCCATGGTAAATGTTCAATTTGATCTAATAAACTGACTAAACTGTCAAACATGATTTTTAGTTCTTTAGGTAACTGTTGACCTGTTTGATTCTGTAAACGATCTAATTCACCTAGAAAATATAATTAAAAAAAGGATAATTTATGATTTTGATGTAATTGTGGTGTATGCTACTTATGTCGATAGACATAAGTATTATGTAATACTAATCAGAAATGAAAAACCTGGCAGTAGAGGGCTAAGAAGATCGAGTTGAAGAGAACAGAAGGGAAAATAGAAAGAAATCGTGAACTTGAAGAATCATGCAGAATATGAAAGACATATGATGGGAATTTGAAAATGATGTATTTAGTGTATGATTCTTATAGTCTGTAATTTTGTATTAAAATACATTGGTTGTCCCCGCCTGAATGTTCGTACACCATACAAAAATAGTAACAGTTGTATTTGTTGTTTTAATTCTCATTGTAGTAATAGTAATACAGAAGGAAGAAAATAAGAGAAAAGGAGCTCATGCTTTTAGTATTGCTATCTATACATGAAAGCTTTCTTAAAGTCACATATTCTCTTTTGAATTGAATATAATTTATTAGTATAGAAGTGTTGTTGTTAGTTGTCCGATTTATCTAGTTTGCATAGATTGAGCTTCGCATTAATAAGTTCTGATGATCGTTTGTACCTTGAAATAAATGAGATTAAAAAACTATGATGTGTATGAAAAACAATAAAGATTAACTTGAGTTCTGACAAGGAAAGCAGTTCAAATTAGTCAAGATGTTATCTAGTTCTTAGTTTCGCTGTGAAGACCTGTTAAATGTTAATCTTGCGTGATAAGTCTTCTGATTGAACGCTACATGTTATGACTGGTCGTCGCTGATTCTCATGTCGGAATTGCTTATCACGTATACTTGTAAAGCGAGGATACTCTGCAATTCCAATGACGCGAAAGTAAGAACATAAGACTGATAAAAGTGAAGATTTATTAACCCAAAAACATGACGACGACAAGTCTAGTCGAAAATATACTCATATTTTGATTAATAATTAAGATGAAATCACATATATGATTAATACTTAGGGTTATAACAAATCATGTGCTGAGTATAGTTCATGTTAACTTAATACAAGAATATCGTTATGTTATACAGAACAAAAGATCACACCGGGAAATCAAAACATTGAGTAATCATCACAAAGTGGAAGTAATGTTGAATAAAAGTCATAATGAGTAAGAGAATGTAATTTTGACTTTTCATCCCATCATATCATTGACAATCTGTTTGACTTGGTACGTATTATTTTCTCATGAAAACTTGATCTAGTAGAGTTAAATAAATATTCAATCTCATATCAACGCAGATTCCTATCGATAGAGTATTTGTGGAAGGCATACACATAAGCAGATAGCTTTTGGTCTATCATCCTTCAATTATTACCGGTCGATATCGATCTATAGAGCTACAGACGAGTGAAGACGATCTTTTGATACGTGTTTATGTCGATAGTAGGAAATTCGGACGCTTTAACTTCAAGACTCACTGAATATCAGTTCTAGTTATTGCTAGTTTTTTTCAGTCTTAAATGTTCGCTAATGTCAGTACACGATTACTGCACTGCCTCAATAAGGACATATTTAGCCTACAAAAAGTTTGCTGTGGGATATCAACGGGTAATAAACTACACTTAGGACAACACGTTGATTCCATTAGGGGATGGGGGTATTGTTACTGAGACTTTTACATACACAGTATTACTGTAACATGATAAATTAGCAAAAAAGATTGGAATAGTAATAATATTGTGGTTCTTGATATTTCTCCAGATTGTACATTTAATGAGGGTGATAGGGGATATATATAGATTTTATCGGAGGAACATATGCTTCCCTAAGTTCAGAAGAAGAAAACAACCAGGACACAAATCTATAAACAAACCAGAGTTTGCCGGTAGCTCTCTAGAATACCTCTGCAGTGCAATGTGAATTCCTCCTAACAAATATTAATGGTTAACCGTTTACAATTCGACACAGCTTTGGAAGTCATAGTACTATCAAAAGAAAGTTATAGATAACTCAGCAGGAACAATACTACTGAAACTATCCAAATTGTAGTAAATGCGTGTGGAGTGTACTTTAGTATTTTAAGTAGGTTACAATTCTGTTTTCCCTCTGGTGAAAAGGCATTCAGTAGGTCATGTTGTAGAAACAACACAGACTCTAATTCCGAATGGTCATTTTATCATCTTGAATAGCGGAATCAATTTTAAGCATTCTAATCTTGTGGAGGCATATTTCCTAGTCAAATTTTGATTCGAATAATAAAAATAGACAACGCTCACGATGAAAAGGATGTTCAATGGAGACTTTCCAAATGAACGAAACTCGATGAGAGCGTCTGCAAACACCAGTCACTGGTTAACTTATTGGTAAGAAGGAAGTCACGAATAACAAATCATGCAATTCTCCAGGAGGATGAATCTTTAGGTAGGAGTGTACATTGGATGAGAGGTAGAAGGGGGAATCGGTTGGTAGACTGTGTCAAACTAACTGAGAAGATTAATCGATGAGAAACAGAAGACGCTGATAGGTTCGATCTTGATATGTTCGAGCCGACCCTACCGGGACTAAAAGATCCTGTTTTTTATCCATAGTCATCGAAATTACAACTAAGAGAGAGCTGTTGCTAAGAAAATGGTTGGATCACTGGAAAAGAGTATTCTTTAAATATGCTGTACGATCGTTCTGACTTATTGCTGGAGAAATTAGAATAATTCAACTAAATATACAATCACACCTGAATCATTATAATTGTTGTTGTTATGGCTAACCCCGAAAATGTCACACCCATACCCAGTTTCAGTTACTTATATGAGTCAGTTGAAGATTCAGCTCTTATACAAGTCATATGAAAATCTGCACACCACAATATAACTTTATTTATTTATTAATTCATATATATTTCGATATATATATATATATATATATATATATATATATATATGTATATATATATATATATATATATAACTAAAATAGATCAACTGAAATAAAGAGTAGTGTAGTAATAATTAACTTACTAATAACTTTATCGATTGCTTTATCCCAGTTATTCCAACATTCACCACATGGCACACAATCAGGTAGAATACCTTCAGTACCTCGGTCACATCTATCACATCGTTGGCCAGTTATACCCGTTCTACATGGACATTGACCAGTTAATGGATCACATAAATCACTTGTTGAACCGATTCGATCACAATTACAAGCTATGGGGAAAAAAGGAATTCTATTTGTTAAAAAAGTGATATACAATGAACATAAAGGAACATACCATTACTTAACAGAAGCGCCTGGTGTTTTAAAAAAAATTTATTTTCAATGAATGAGAGCATTAATGAACTCACGTTGGCACCCGTCTGGAGTAGTTGGATCGCTATAAAATAGTCTTCTGCACTGATCACATCTGCGCCCACTTCGGTCTGGTTTACAACGACACTGGCCCATAACCTGGAATTTATCCGTAATATTGTTGGAATTAAATTGTGAACAGTAAATAGTGAGTTGAAACTTAATGAGTATAATCTATCTAGCAACAATTTATCATGGTAAACTAATAAAATATAATATTGGAAAGTGTGATTATTTAAAAGCCACTCATACTCACTAGTATTAAGTGGTTGAAGATAGTCAGCAGGCAAACCTACTTAATCTAGGTCTTATTCTAGATGGCACTCATTACCAAGACGTACATAAAACCCTGAAGGAACTGAGGCTAAATAATTTGAACTCGTGTACCCAACCTTGTGGCTACATTACCACATGATCGATCAGCACTAAGAGAATAGTTGAGATCATGAGTCGATTGGAACTAGACCACTATTAAAAACCTGGAAGCACTGGACGACCATTTCGTCCGATCCTGGGGCTCATCAGCAATGCGTAACCACAACCCCGCCCTGTGGGATTCGAACCCAGGACCTATAGGTTTCACGAACGAACGCCTCACCACTAGACCACTGTTCCGGCATTCGACGGTGTTAATGTCTAACTTCAACCAATCCACAAAGTTGCGCCAACGTACACCATTGTCTTCAGTGAGTTACTATCTCACAACAGACCCGGTTGAACTCCACTGGTCACTGGTTCTGACGAAAATTCCAGGAAATACTTCTTGAAGTCAGTCACTAGTGAGCATATGTTGTTTAGTATCAGAAGGGGTTCGAATCTCACGAGGCGGGATCGTGGATGTGTATTGCTGAGGGGTCCCGCATTAGGACGAAACGGCCGTCTAGTGCTTTCAGGTTTTCCATGGTGGTCTAGTTTCAAATGACTCATGATCTCAGCTATTAAAATTATTGCAATATCCACGATACCCCTTATGATATTAAAAGAATAGACAAATATTCTATTGATGACTATTCACCAGCCGACAAATTATATTTACTAATTACTTTTGGAATTCAAATATAAACCAAAGAAATTAGAAAACATAATATTTGGATTACCTGAAAAATTTCCAAGTAAATTTAATGAGTACTAGTTTCTAGTTACTTTTGTTATTAATACTATAGTCTACATGAAAACCGACCATCCGCGCTGGATAATGTTCTTGTTAAATATGATTTTATGAATTGAGACAAATTATTTAGAACTTTACAAGATAGTCTTATAATATCAGAAGGGGTTTTTGTGAATATTATAGTAATTTTAATATTTGAAATTATGATTCAATTGAAGCTAGACCATCATGGAGAGAAGCAGTGACCAGTGGAGTTCAACCAGATCTGTTGTGAGATAGGAACGCACTGAAGACAATATTGGATGTGTCGCGCACGAGACTGAGAGATCCTGGGTTCGAATCTCACGATGCGGGTCTCAGATGCACACTTTGGAAGAGTCCCACAATAAAACGAAACGGCCGTCCAATACTTCCAGGTTTTCCATGGTGGTCTAGTTTCTATTGACTCATGATCTCAACTATTGAAAGTAATTTTATAAGATAATGATTTTATTAACTGATATTTTATTTTCGAAGATACATTTAATATAGACTATCAATCTAGTATTGTTATTCAGTTGTGAAGTGTATATATGATCATGAGAAATTCTATACCATTTAGCGAGATTCACATACTATAAAATAGGATCAGATCATAAAGTTTACAAATAATTTGAGATATTAGATCATTTCCTATTATTATCGATATGAAACTAAATAGTAAACTATCAGTTTCATAGTGGCGGGGGTGTTGTTTACGAAATTAAGAGGACGAAAAGTGAATGCCCGGCGCTTAAACCGGGTTGATGGACACGGAGATTCCACCTAGGGTATCTGGAAAACCCTGATTCCAAATCAATAGTGTACATGGGCTCCAGGATCCTAAGGAAACAAATGGTGTACGAACCTTTTGTTCGTCACCTGCAAATATGGGGCTGCATCTCCTTACGTTGCTCCACTGCTTTGTGGATTAGACCGTTAGGTCGAAGGCTCGGGATGTGGCCTCCTAGGAAAACCTCGTGCTCCGGTTTGGGCACCCAGGCAGTATCCCAGCTCTCACATAAATCGAATGATTTATGTACTAATATTTATGTTTTTAAATAAATAAATAATAGTTTTATTAATAATCGTCATGAGAGTTATTAACTTGCCATTTAGCTTCCTACCTAAACGAATATGAATATACTAAGAATAGAGTTCTTTCTCTAAACTAACCGAATCGATATTCTGTTTTTTCAGATCACTTTTAATTTGTACCACTTATTTTTAGTGATCTGCAGATAATTGTGAATAAAGTAAAATAAGTGATGGATATATTTATAAAGATTTTTTGTTTTGTATAACTAACTATAACAAAATGTCGTGATTGAAGTTCAATAAATTATATGTTTACGGTACATCGACTATGAATTGGTACAAATTGTAGGTTCATCAATATATATTCTCTCTTAAAAATATAACTTTTAGATAAAGTGAAGCTTACTGGATCACATAAATCATCAATTGAACCAGTTGGATCACATAAACATGGTTCACATCCTTTACCAGAAGTTAAATTGAAAAAATATGGTGCACATTCATAACATCTTGGACCAATTACATTTGGTAGACATGAACATTGTCCATTTTCACGATTACAGCCTCCAGCACCTTCATCAATGCTGCCTAATGGGTAACAATTACATGGCTGACACATTTGGCGTGTTGCATCACCCCAAAAGCCATCTTTACACTATAAATAAATAGGTGAATACGATACATAAATGAGAAATTTTCAAAATAACATATTTTTCCTTGTATGAAATATTTATACTAAAATGCTATCTTTGATTAATGTGACCTCATTCACAAGAACATGGAGACAGAATGAACCTATCATATAAATATATCAGCTGTATATCCATTTTGTCAGTGCTAATGTTCACACCACAAGTCGAACGCAATACCCTCCACTTTGAAAGTCAACGAGTTATCTACTGAGCTATTGAGTTCAGTTAAGCACTAACTTTTTAATAAGTATACTGGAATATAGGTAAATTCGATTAATGCTTCTTATAAATGACTTAATTGACGTCTTGAATTCCACTCTTAGCCATAATCACACTATTCCAGAAAGATTGTGATAAACGGTCGCATCGAGATAAAGTAGACATACGTCAAACAATGATTAACCGAAATTCAGTCTTCATTATTAACCACAGGATAGTTCAAGCTCATATTAATAATAACATTAAAATGTAAAATGAAAGAGATAAACATCATTGCAGTAATCATTTTACGTAATAATCCACTGAATTAATTTCAAACTTACTACATCACAGTAATAACCTTCTGTATTATGTAAACACTTCAAGCATTGTCCAGTGATCGGATCACAACTGCCAGGTACATTAACTGCAATATTTCCAGAACATTCACATTGTCGACAAGAGCCACCAGGTTCAGTTGGATTCCCAAAATAGTTCATGGCACATTGACTACATCTTGGACCTGAAAAAAATACATATGTACCACATGTACCAGCTAATAATGAATAGTATTTTCTTTAAATTAATCTCACTTTTTAAATCCCCATCATTGATAAAAATCGGTTTTCCCTTGTCCTTGCTAGAATCAGCCGATGGACTTGCGAAGTTCAGATATGTAGAAGGTAAGACAAATACCATTAGTCACAGGTGATGATTATAGCATAGATAAAGGTAAGAAATGTAAACCAGTTTAGTTATCTGAAAATTAAGTGCCCACTACTATCCCTTGTTGTCCATGTTTTATTCCTTCATAAGTTCATGAATGCGTACTGCTGAAGTCTCATGACAAAGTGAATCATCTGTCTAGTGCTTTCTGATTTTTAATGATCGCATAACTACAATCAGCCTGTTATGAGAAACCATTATCTTCAAAATCCCCTATACTAATAAAAATAAGTTATAATTGTAAAGAATATTTACAGATACAAATTTATTGAACTACTGTTTTGAGATAGCATGCAATATTTAACGTAATTTTCAACAGAATTTGACTTTTATTTATGATAGAAAGTGTAGAATCTTAGTGCTAAGTAATGTCAAAAAATTGATGAATACAAAACTAGATTACAGAATCAATTATTTAATACAGTAATCAAAAAAGTAACTTTTTTCCACAAAAAAAATTGACCGAATATTTTGTTAAACGTCGGGAAATGGAATCAGATATGAAACGGGTGAATAACAACTGGAAAAAGCTGGAAAGGATTGCCCAGGACAGGGTTGAATGGAGAATGCTAGTGAGCGGCCTATGCTCCTTCACGAGGAGTAGCAGGGGTAAGTAGATAAGTAAGTAATTTTGTTAAAAATATACAGAATAATAAGATTACAACAAAAAGTTTACTCACCTGTGTATCCAACTTTACAAATACAAATTTGTTCTTCCAATGGTCCCATATGACATTGTTTAGCATGATTTAATCCACCACCTGGACATGAGCATGGTTTACAAGGGGTTTTTCTCAAAGGATCACCATAAAATCCTTCACGACATGTTTCACAATGATCACCACCAGTATTATCTCTACAATTTTCACATATTCCAGTAGTCTATACAATGTAAATATTGAAAAAAATATTTAAAATTCAAATGTTTAACTTTAAATATTTTATACTCGAATAAAGAAGACTATTTTTGAGGATAATTGTAATCTTGTACACGTAATACTATTATAATCTTCAAAGTCTAGAAAGTTCTGAATAACCTTCTCTTAAATTTTATCATCAGGGTGTACAGTAGTTGAATATAGTTTAGTCAAAACCAATAGATCCTACAGGCATATGTACGCATTTTTGCTCACAAATTACTGAACTGAGTAAAGACCACTTGTTTATGGGTTAAACGTTGAAACATTCTAAGGATAGTTTTCAGCTACCAGGACCAAATAAGCATAAAGTGAAGACAAATTTTCATCAATATAGTCGTATGTATGTCGTAGTATTTTATGAATTAATTAATTTTCATAAATATGAACGTCTATAGTTTAATTCAAGATCTAAGTTGCAAAATAGTGATTATGAAATTCGAAATTCTTATGTTTTATATCGTGTGCAGTTAAAGGTATACGTTTCTGATGTGTCTGAAAAGGTAAACAGACATCTTCACAACCTTTACTTGTCTTAAATATTCTCCTATCTGCTGTCAGTTTGGACTTTGCTAATGGTGTATTTTATACCATTTTAAATGGACTTCAAATAAAAGTCTATAAAACTACATTGATTTAACTTGTTTATATTCAATAAGTATTGTGAAAAGTTGTATTTGTAGAGTCGTCATGTTAAAATCTAATTGATCCTTTTACTCTGAATAGTCATCGAGAAATCATATAATAAATGATTTAAAGTGACGTAAATAATAGTTTTATATTGTTGTCAATAGCAGATTGATTATAAAGAATAAGAGATTACCAAGTAACTTTCTTATATTAGTTTTGATTTCTACTAAACGGAGTACCATCAACCTTCCTAGATACTGGGTTGGTGATCATTGGGGATTGTAATAAAAACAGTAGTCTTAAAATGCTAGTCTGTGATTCATCAAGGTGTAAGTATCTGACGTTTTATCAATAGTTGAAATCACGAGTCAATTGAAGCTAGACCACCATGGAAAACCTGGAGGCACTAGACGGCCGTTTCGTCCTAGTATGGGACTTCTCATCAGTGTGTATCCACGATCCCACCCCCCGGGGGATTAGAACCTAGGACCTATCAGTCTCGCGCGCCAGCGCTTAACCATTGTAATACTGAACCAGCCGGCGTCCGACGGTGGTAATGTCTAACTTCAACTAACCCACGAAATCGCACCACCGTACACCATTGTTTTCAGTGAACTGATATCTCACAACAGACCTGGTTGACTTATTACTTGAGTAACTCTACAGTTTATTGTTTCCTAGTTCAGCCTTTTTTCGATTCTGAATTCGATATACTTTCACGTCATGTATATTTTCTACCAAGGATTTTCAGTTTAAAATGAAAGACATTTTTAGTGATTTATAACAGTGTTTAAGCTAATGTTATTCCGAAATGAATCTAAAATACATACATCTATTGACATGTGTACTCACTGTGAAAATTAAATGAAACTTATCTGTGAACCATAGTAACACAAATAAAACTAGAAATGAATGTTCATTCATTTATTTCCATTACCTGATTACAAAAATCACTAAATTCATTGCATATACATGGACGACAATTTGGAAAATCCCAAAAACCAGGATTACACATATTACAATGTTTACCAACAATTCCTGGTCGACATTCACAAAGACTAGTATCTTCATGACATTGTAAACTGACAGATCCTTGAGGATCACATGCACAATCTACGAAATAATAGAAATGTTGACAAATCAAAATAAATATTTATATAAACGCATTTGTAAATATTAATTGTGTCATTTAGCATTAGACAATCGATTTTGATAGTTGAATTCATAAGTTGATCTAAGCTAGACCATTATTGAAAATCTGGAAGCAATGAACGGCCATTTTGTACAGAGTAATACATTTTATTGGAATTTCTTACAAAAACTTTTACCAAATAGAGAATTTGTTTTGATTTAATGTTTTGCAAATGGCTATGTTGTAACGCTCAATTTCCATTATTAATCATTCGTTCACTGAGTATATATTCGTTTAATTAAAATTTATTTCCATTTTAGCCCTTAATAGTATGTATTACAATGATGGCTCTTACTAGTTAAATCACTGTTTTTGAAATCTTAATTTGTAGATAACGACTAATCTGTGAATACCTTCAAATTTTAAGTCTAGATTAAAATGTTAACCAAAAAGAGACAGATTTGATAAGACGTATATCAATAATCCCATTAGAGTTTTCTCGTCAACATATTTAAGTGATAAATCTTCTGACTGAATGCTTGAATCGGTTTCCTGAGCCCTTCTAATAACTCTTGGGCTTCTGGAAGGTTCTAGAACCCTGCTAAACATAGTAGCAGGATAGGTAACCATCCAATCAAAAATGTGACATGTGACGTATATTCAGTACTGATGGAATAAACTGTTTTCCAGTATTTTGGGGGCCTTTTTGGGCTATTTTCAATGAATTTTCTGGGTCTCCTTACTAATTGTGGATCTGGAACATCTATGTATTCATCTGATAAATAAATTGATACTATCCACTATATTTAAAGACATTAATTCAATGTACACAAGAATAATTAATAGCAATCATAGTGATAAATAACGCACCTGTACATCCTCTTGCACTGAAACCATAATGATATAGTGCACATCGATCACATTGTCTACCAACAACTCCATCTTTACATGGACATTGTCCCGTTAGTTTATCACATATCTCAGAACGTGAACCGGTTGAATTACATAAACATCCTGGTAGGTCATAAAAAATCAAACTCTAAGAATTAGTGAAAATGGTAAAATTTATTATTTTCTATTTATATAAAGGAGATATAACAATGTGTTTAAGTGAAACTTATTCATAGTTTTTGCTTACAATTATTTTAACCACTAGTTTTTGAAAACTATCTTTTCTCCTCTCTTCTACTCTATTAAAGACTTAATCCCAGTTGATTTTTCTACTTATATCTTTTTTTCTAGTAGCATTTCATTTCACTGAACAGATTATGTGTTCATAATTTTCATGATTTTATGCTGCATCACTTAGTAAGACTAGCATCTGTTGGTCATTCAAAAATGGTTGGTTGGAACCCTATAGATAATGTAGAACAGTGGCAGTTCTGATTTAACTTTCTTTTAATTTCTCCATATAAATGAGAGGAACTTCTTCAACTGGAAGAATCCCTTCTGGTTGTATTTTTCGTAAATGAACTGCTTCTCCTAATAGTATTCCGCTCTCACACACTGATTTTTATTCATCTTTGTTCTTTTCTTATTGTACTGACCTTCCTTTATCTCGTTATACTGTAATTCATATTGGGTTGCATATACTTTTTGTAGATTAATAATGTTTGCACATTTTCTAATTAACTGATACTGATTGATTTTGTTATTCTAGTAATGAATGTAGATGAAATCAGTGCCACGAATAAAACTTACTAACAAGTATTAACAAGCAGCGAGCCTAGATGAAGTACGATTTTGTCGAACTTCTAACATACTAGAACTCAAGTGAAGAATTAAACAAAGGGAATAAATTAGTAAACTAACTTTGTGCTACAGAACTGCTTTCTTTCCAACTTAAACGTGGTAAACGGAAATAAACTTCACATTCTGGTGGCAATCCTGTTCGATCTTCACGACGACCAGCTAGTATCTCCATAGCAATTTCACGATAGACTTCACAACGACGTGCTAAGTCACTGTCATCAGTAGGTATCAGTATAATCTTTAGTTTGGAAATAGAGTGAATGGGTAGTTAACAGTATTGCTCTTTTAACTCAAAATTTTAAATTTATTTACAAATTGGTTGAAATTAAAATTGTATCACCGAGAGAGAAGTCAGTGCTGCTAGTGATTAGGTGGTGGCTGCTAGACCTCAATGTCCTGGGTTTTTTCTGGTGAGGCCACGACTATACACTACTGAGGAGTCCCGTATCAAGACAAAACAACTGTTTAATGTTACCTGATCTTCAGTTGTAACCAAACTGAGATCAATATGTAAAGAATACAATCAGTAAATAATAACGGGGATGGTTTACTTGAGTTCATTTGATCTTCCTTTACAACCGTATGTTTAGTTAGTTTTGAAAAAAAGTTATTCATCAATTGTAAAACCTGAAGTGACAGCTATAGAAATGTCTGTATGTGCGGCTTCTTTGTACGGTGGACTCAGTGGGCCTAGTCCGCGATGTATTCTACCCATATGTTCCTCTGTCCTTGAATCTCAGTGATTGGCTTGTCTTCTTTGTCCTTGACCGGTCTCTCTGTTTTACTATATTTCCTTGCAAATTCCTTCATCATATCATACAGTTGTTTCATATTTCCTTCTCTTGTGACTTTTCCCTCTGTTGACGCTAGGTTTTACATGTATTTCTGCTATTCGGTTTTAATGCTCTTCTTCACTTGCTTGTGTATTCAGTTTGTGCCTTGACTTTCTCTGCTCTTGTTCTTGCTTTCTTAGATCTTGTCCAGGATTTTGACAGAGACCCATTCCTTATGATGGTGCTTCTTGCGGCTTGGAACCTCTTGGGACTTTGAAATTAGTTCTCCTTTGATCCCTTTCCAGTTTTTTCCCATGGTAGTTTCTTCTCCTCTGAGTAGATCTTATAAGGCTTGGAACCTATTGCTGAGAGCTATCTTGAATTCGTTGAGTTTGTCAGTACGTCAAAGGAAGGCTGTATTGAATCTTTATAGTTCTGTTTTTCCGGTTGTCCAGTGCTTCATTAGCTTCAACTTCATGTCGACAACCATCAGGTGGTGATCTGAAGCTATATCAGTTCCTCTCTTGGTTCTCATGTCTTCCATTGACCTCCTAAATTTTTTAGTGATGGAAAAATGACCGATTTGGTTCTGTGTAATGTGATCTGGTGAATCCTATGTAGATATGCGTATGCACTTGTAGGGGAATATAGTGCCTCCATTCAGTATTACTGCTGAATATTTAAAGAGTTCTTTATTGGTTTATGATTATGTGTTTGTTAGTGTTTACTCATCAAGTCTGTTAATTTGTAATTTTTCACCCAATACATTATGGACTAGTCATGATGTGTATACTTAACAGGAGACAACAAATCAGCATACCTAAAGCTAAAGTTATTATAATAAAAGATGCTTACATCAGTAATTAGGATTTCGGTAAATGCTCCTTCTGGATACGATTCAGGAACAACACGTAGAACGATTGGTAATCCAGGTTCCAAACAGACATCTGATATAATAACTTTGTGAGTGTCTGAAAGAGCAATAATAATAGATTGATAATACAAAAATTTCATAAAATATAGGAACATAAAAATTTAAGAGTAATTTTCAACTATTTTTAGATGAAAAGCTGTTGAAAACTGTAGAACACTGGGCAATTATTCTCGTAGGAACATATTCATTACCTGAAAAGATAAATATAATAGTGAGGTAGAAACTTAATAATGACGAAAGGGTTAGAATCACAATTTATGGGAGAGAATAACTGAAGTTTGTATTGTGCACAGTTGGATCGCAGCATTTCGATTTGGTAGCTTCGTGATCTCTCCTAGACCTAATGTGTCTTACGTTAGACACAACGAGAAGAGGTGGGTATATATTTTACCTATACAGTACTCCTAATTTTCAGTAAATCTCTAGATGATATCTTTTAGGTGTGGAAATAATTACTAAAAGTATGTAAAGTCATCACAGAACTATCTGAATAAACAGTAAAATCTTTGTTCCAGTCAAATATACAGAAGGATTGTTCTATACCGAACTCAGTACATCATAATTAAAAGCCGATTTCATCAATAATAATCTAAATACTGAGGTAAGATCAACATAAAAAAAATTTAAAGAGAAGTTGGTTTCGTTCGTTCTTCCATACTTGGATAAATCTGTTCACCACTTCTGTATCGATGAAAGTGTCAAAAAGTAGAGTTATACTACTTACAAGTACTTAAAACACAAACTACCGTTGAATTTTTCGAAAGTGGTGTTCGAATAAACGAGATGAATATATATATATATATATATATATATATATATATATATATATATATATATATATATATTCAATAGTGTATGAACTCCCTAATGATAGTTTTCAGTTCAATCATTTGTAGATTGATGGAGTGAAATGGTAAAGGTCATTTATGTCGTTTATACTTAACTCCGTCAACAAAATTGTGATTATTTAGTATTACATCATATTTTACGTGATATCAATGGGATTCATTGATGAAATTCAACTGAATGTATTTAGCTTTGAGCAACACATATTTTTCGGAAGTTATAACTGTTAGTATAGTAGTCTTAAACGAAGTAGATGAAAAGCGATAGAATATTAGAAATTAATTGTTGTAATTCCAGTGCTACATCTGTTAAGTAGATAACTACCATTATTATTTAAATAAGGAATTTGTTACAGAACAAATGCGTAAATAAAGTTCACTTTATTAGTTTACATTTTGTTATGTAGTCGAAGTCGAGTTGTTTTAATTAACTGATAACAAATTGTAGAAAGAGGAGCCAGTAAGTAAAAGGCATAGTTCTTTGGTTCGTTTTCATTGTGAAAACTTTATTTCAAATTGTTGACTTATTTCAGAATTCAACACAAACTTATTGAGCTTTAAATAGATTTTCAAAATAATTAATGAAGCAAACTTGGATAGTGGCTAGAAATCGAATCAAGTACGCGCGTTTCGTTCCATTTAAGATGTATTCTAGATGTATAAACATCCCAGAGTTGAAGTATACTTCAGAATTTGAACCTAACACCATTTGATTTAAATGATATCGCAATATCTACTTAGCCACTGAGTTTAGTGAAACTGAATATCAGGACTAGGTGGAGGTACATTCAACTGACCTGTCCCAAATAAGATGAAATGCATGTTCTATATTCTATTGTTAGCCACTATCCATCTCTGCTTAAAAATGATGATGACTTAATATCACTATTGAAGTAATCCGGACAGGATGCACGTATGCCATCAGAAACTGATCAATAACAGTCCTAAATGTCAAGGGGAAGATCCAATCAATCAATTTATAGGATTTATGAAGCTTAGAAAACTTGTATCAATGACTGCTTTTTACCCTCAAATTATTATCTAACTAAAAAAATTGAATGTTGCTTAAAAGAGTGTATCAGTCATCGAGTCCACAACAAAATCAGAATCAAATATGAAAATCCTACTATTTTCATAACTTTATTCGCAACGTTCGATGAGCCACGTAAATTCCTACATCCACAACACTCCTGTCGGAACTCTATGATGATCAGATGAATGGTCACAAGTACCTTTCTTTATTTAAACTTATAAATTAGGTGAATATATGAGACAACAAATGGGATCACAATGGATCACAAAAAACACATTTTACATGATAAACAACTGGATCATTTTTGATAAAAAGACTGAGTGACACATTAATAGTTAATCAAATTTAATTTATAGACAGAAAACAAAGTAGGAACGGTTATTAATAAACTGAATAATATCAAGAAGTACCAAATAAATAGATTATAAAACAAATGTTTAACAAATACTCATCATAAACTTATGCAAACTAATTCATCAAAGACTACCTTATTAAGTATCATATTTTCCTTTTCACATTACATTTAAACTACATGCCGTTCTTACTAACATTTCGTAATTTTCTATTGTTGATATTCAAACCTTCAGTTGATCAGTCGATGTTACCATATATATACATCCTGAGCAGATTGCCTAGATATATAGTTGTCACAAGTTTTAGCATACACAGTATATAGCAAGCAGTGAAATCCAGGATATAAGTTTCATATCATTTGCAATTTTTCAGCTAGATCTACCTATATTTTAGTGTTGGTGTTCATGTCTCAGTCTGGACATCAACAATCAAATGTGGATACATCCAGTTGTTTAGTCCCAAGAAGGAGAAAATATGATCACTGAATATCCCTCCTAGCCACATACCAAAATTTGCATACTATTAAAAAAGTAGTTATTTATTCAACATCACTTTTTGACAAATTCAACAATTAATCATCGATAAGTTTCACTAAGTTATCCTAATATTTGCAACTTAAATTATAAATATTATACATATATGTTATATACATGTTGACCATACCTTGATAAATATTAACACTTTGAGGTGGATTCTGACATTTTGTTGCACCATATTGAAAAGGTGTTACAACGATTGACCATCTATCACCAGAACCAAACTAGACATTGAAAAAAAATTCAATCAAATGAATGACATCTCTTATCAAAGATCTAATTTCAGTTGCTTTTATTTATAGTACTCATTCTTCAATTTATATGTTAACAGAAATTTTCGCATAATTGAAATAAATATGACATTATATATATATATATATATATATATATATATATATGGTTGTACAGATTTTCGAAGGTGGTCGGTAGCCATTCTTCGATATAAGCTTCGTTTTCACAGGAATTATCGACTTGAGATTCCAACTACTCAATGGTGATGACAGTAGTTGTTTAGAATAAATAGAATATAGTGAGAAATGGAATCGAAGACGCGTGTTCTGTCAGCTACTGTGTATTAACTTTTGTTATAATAGCTATTTCGAGACAATCCTCAAAGGATGTCCATGTGCCAACTAAGCCTGACCGAATTTCAGTCAAAATATTAATAACGTGATAATCTAAGCCATTTCAAACCGAATGAGAATAGTAATCGTTTGAATACACCATGTTAGCTCTTATACGTTTAGAAACTGAAGCATAGTAATTATATAGATTATTTCGGATTGTCTGTTCTTTTCTAATTAGAATGTAGCTGACATTGTTATTTATTTTTCAAAAATCTATCGATTTGCGTTCGATCTACTCACCAAATGGAATAATCTCCTGTTCATCTGTATTGGGAATGATAATAAATATTTAGAACAGAAGGAGACAAACCTCTATTCGTAAGTCAAATACGATCCAAAATGTCAGTTAGAAATATAAGTGAAATTAGTCAAAAGTGTAGTAATTAAAAATTATTTCAGATAAACATTGCTATTTGTTAAGAACTTAGAACGTATTTTAGTCAGTATGTTCTGTCATTATTGAACTTGGTTCTGATTGGTTAGATTATATTTTGTTTATTCAGACAAATGTATTCTCAATGTCTTTGATTCTATTCTTGAACTAATATAAGTACATTAAGTATATATTGTGATTCATCTTGTAAATTCAACTTTGCATTACATGCATCAGGTTCTTTCATACAGTATTTTAATTTCTTTATATTGCGTTAAAGAAAATATACAAAGGGGGGGAGCACTAGGCGGCACTTCCTTTTAGTTTTGAATTTCCTCAGTAACACACTATAAGATATCAGATAGAAGCTACAAACTACACAAAATCTCAACGAAACTACTTACATCAGTACTAACTTTTTAAATTACCTGTTTAGGATCCACATCAAGAACAATTACATACTTCCCTTCACCTTTAGGTCCAACCAGTGTAATCTCTTTCTCGTCAGGTTTATCAATTACTTCATGTGGTGGAACAATATAATATCCATTTTCAACTTCACTGCAATCACGTCCAGTAAAGCCAACTTTACAAGCACACTGTCCACTAACACGTTCACAATTTGGATTCAATGATCCAACTTGACTACAGGCACATTCTTGACAACCTAATGGTGTTGTGGACAGATTAAAATAACCTTCCTGTAAAATAAATAATATTTATTATTATATTACAAGTATTATTTTATTCCACTGATCATTTTCTTAAAGAATAATAATAAAGTATGATGCCAATATAAATTTTTCAGTAAAAATCTAACAAACTATGGATGTACAATGCATCAACTACTGAGACAACTCAACATAAATGAATTCATAATGCGGTTAGTGATTGCGTAGATTGAAAACGTTTATGATTTCTCATTGTAAATTAATAATTTGTGCTTTAGATATTCGGATAAATATAGTTGAGTTATTTCGAAATTCTCAAGTCATGTTTAGTTCAATAAAAACTCCATTACTTCAACAGCTATACATATTTTTTTATCACTGTTAATAGCTATGGTCTTCAAGTGGATGTTCATCACCACTGAAAGAGCCAAACTATATCGAAAGATTAATTGAAGATTCTAAATAACCAACAGTACTCATAAATAAGTATTAATGATAAACGTTTCAAGCATTTTGCTAATTATTCCTCAAAATAGAGACTGAAATCAGTCTTATAAATTATTAAGGTTCTCATTTTTCCAGTCTATCTTAATGCTACAAACGTAAAGATTTTAAGTATATAGAGTTAATTTAGTCCTATAAAATTAAGCCCTTTGGTCAAAGATACGCTATCATACTTCGTTAGACCCTAGGCTCAAGCATTTAAAATGAGTTTTAATAAGAACATTCAAAACTGCAGGTTTGTTTAGTATACAAGTGCCATATAAGACTTAACATGAACTGGATTTCATTGCTATTCAATGTCTAAAGTAATAAAGCTCTGACCACTGGAGATACTGATGGAAGTTTGTATATCAGCATTGGTCAGTTAACTCACTCCTCGAAACCGACCACAAGGAATTATAAACTTTACTAAGAGTTTTTCATTTCTTTACATTTACTATAATGCAAGTTTGCTTGGACGATGAAGATGATATGTAGCTCAAAATAATGATCTCTGTAAGGTGATGTTCTCTGAGTTGCACAATATAAGCCCTTAAAGGGATACAAATTGTCTATAAACTATTTTTAGGTGAGTAATGATATTTATTACCCTCAAATTATCTTTACTCAAACAATTCTGTTATCACTAAATTTATAAGGAAATTTTATTCATAAAATAATGAATATTATAATGAGATTTTAATTACTCACCAAACATCGATCACAATTTGGACCACCAACAAATCGTTTACATGTACAAAGTCCAGTAAATGGATCGCAACCACCATTGTCGATTGTACCAATCATATTGCATGAACAAGCTGTATTAATACATGTATATACATACCAATAAGTACAGTTTTGATAAAATGGAAGTTGGATAGAAAGAAAGGTTATATAATTCCCTAAAATGTTTCGATTTATTATGTTGCTTTAGGTAAGTACATCAAAAATGTAAACTTTACTATGAATTAGAAGGGTCTACACAAATGTTTGAGCTGTTTATTTTCCAGCTGTGTAAATATTGCGGCGAACCTTCCTGTGTTAGATTTTTTTCAACTGAATGATTAGGAATGTTAACTGCATGTACCCACTTTGTAATATAAGATGGATACATGTAACTCCTATGATAGGCACTGGAAAACATAAACTGAAACATTACACTTGTTTAATTCTTTCATATAGTAAACAGTCAGTTCCCTGGATGATCGTTGTATTACAGTAGATTTTTATGTGATATGAACTTCGCTAATTAGCTTTATTGTATTTTTTGTTTATTTCTTCCTTACTAAAGTATAAATATGATATATTCATGTTTTTATTTTTACTGTCAAAAGAGTGTTTAAACTTATTTACAGGATCTATGTCAGTCAGTCAGTAACAACTTAGAACTTCGTACGTACGTACATCAGTTCGAGTTAGCATACCACATTAGCACAGAGATTCAGTTGTCGATTCAAATCCTGTAGTAGTAGAAGTAGTAAGAGTATAAACAGATAAGCCCCACTCTTATAAAATTTGTTAAAGACAACTGCTATCAGGCGTTGAAAAACTTGAATTTATTTGTTCAAAACGTAATGGTTGTTAAACTTTCTATGCCTCAGTGACATAAACAATTTTTTCATTACATCATAAAGTTTTGTCCAACTCTTTCTTTCAATCAATCACATCATTACATCTTTTTATTTTGGATGTCTCCTAGATTAGTAACCTTATTTTAACTGAGCTTCACTTATTTCATTCTTAATTATTATCAGAGTTTGTTCACTAGATAACGATTGTTTCTAGCTTGTTAGTCTTACTATCATTATTTTAAAACGTTCTTTCATATAAAATGTACGTTTGCAGCGTTTTATTTAGTTTATTAAATTTGTTTACATCCTTAATACACTATAATTGTGTGTAATCATAGCAGCCTCCAACGAGCTCCTTCATCCAAGTAGTTTGAATACGTTTTGAGATCAAGATTTTTAAATATTACAGATTATAATCAGCTGACCAAACGAAATAAAATGACTTCATGTTATTCTACTCAAACCTCCGTTTTGTCTCTCTTCCCATTACATACAGCAAAACATTGAGGCTTAAATCAACATGAATAGTTCAGAGTATACAACTTATATCCCATTCAACTTATTTAGTATCTACGAACAACATAATATTGAACCTATGATATTGAAATCAGCTTAGTTCATTACAAGTATTAAGCCTGTCAAGTGCATATTATCTTACAGTAATTTTACTTACCTTCACAACCATCAGGATTTTCAGCTTGAAAATTCCAAAACCCAACTTTGCACCGGTCACATTTTTCACCACCAACATTTTTCTTACATATACAACGACCAGCAATTGTATTCTGCTCTGGTATAGTATATTGCTGACAGAAATTATCATATAATGTACCATCCAGATGACAATTACACGCTAAAATGAGGATAAAATCAAATAAGGAGAGTAAGTAAGTTACTGTTGAATGTAGTTTTATCATAAGTGATACTATAGATATTTGAAGTGATATTTATTGATGAGTTTGAGATAGCGAATGTTTTTAATCATCACCATGAATGATTTTCGATACTCCATATAAGGCAGTTCTCATCTACAAAATGATATAGGTAATGGAATCACTGAAAATCATAGTGTATCGTATTCTTGATCTTTTAAATATTCTGTTCTTACAACCTTATATTGGTAAAGAATCCAGGAACTTCAGGTTCGATTACAAATATGAAGTCACTTAACCACTGAATTAGAATTTAAATTCATACATTTTTCAACTAAAATCTATTGAAGACTTTTAAAAGTTCTTCAGCTGATATCAATCATTGATGAAAAATGTCTTCAAATTAAAAAATATCCCAAAAAAAACAAAATAAACGAATTCAATTTAAACTAATCGAAATGTACTACAACTTATGATCTATTCGATAAAATTATTTATAATGATTAATTATGGAAATTAAAACAAAGTTTTGACCATTAGAATAAAATGTGAATTCTATTACATTGTTTTCTGTAATGATTGATTTCACAATAAAAATTCATCATTCACATTAAGGTAAAATTAATTGAATCCATTAGTCATAAGGCAAAGTAGGTAGTGCCTAGCAGTGGAATCCATGGTGCGCGAATCATCCTATTTGGGACTCGTCAGCTGGATATACCTTCATCCCGGAATTGATGTTCACTCCAGGATTCAAACCCAGTACCGTTCTCTTTAAACGCTATCACGTTACCCACTTAGCTACTGACTCCTGATAGCCTATTGCTTGTGAAGTTTAAATTCGTTTGGTAATGTTTACTTGAATCTTCTCATTGATGTTTAAGACTGAAATTGATCTGTCTCTTATTGACATATGTGCATACTGTCCATATTGCCTCAATATTGTGTTAAGTCGCAAGCTTTTTAAGCAAAGATGGATTCAGTAGCTAAGTGGATAACCCGATGGCGTTTGAAGCAAACGGTACTGGGTTCGAGTCCCAAAGTGAACATCAAACGTGAGATACAGGTATATCCACCTGACGAGTCCCAAATAGGACGAAACGCGTGTCGTGGATTCCACTGCTAGCTACTACCCATCTTTGCTTAAAAAGCTTGTGACTTAAGGCTATATCGAGGCATTCCTCACAGGATGCACATATGCCAACATGAGACTAATCAATTGCGATCCTAAAGAACAATGGGAAGATACATGTAAAACAATACCAAGTGAACTCTGTTAGTCATTGTTTAAATAAATAGTTACATTTTTAAATGTACAAGTTCGAATTTGAATTTTATACTATAGTAAACGAGAACACATAAGTGGAATACAACCAAATGTATCTGAATACGAAATAATAGAAAGTCTTAGTAAAATCTGAGAACTAGACAATCAATACTTCATTTACAAAATGCATTCTCGTCGAAACAGACCTCCTGTATGACTAAGATATTTAGAATGACTGATTATTGAATCATAGCTAAATAACATATTTGTCCAACCCTTCGAAAGGATAAAATTCTATGGATCAAGTTTTCAAAATTAACAAGCAATTTAATACGTTTAATCGTTTACTTTATAATCAATAACTCAAAGTTATCTACTTGTGAGTAAGTAAAGCTGTAACTTCATTTTTTGGAAAGTGTCAGGAACAGATAATTAGATATGGTACTATTCAGTAAGTTATAAAACTAACCAAAGAATAAATAATACCTTTTCAAAGTAGCTAAAAATTACTAGAAACAAGCAAAATTTTAGTAAATTATAGTAACTCACGTTGGCATGTCAAAGGATGATCTATTGGATAACTTGGATGACGATAAAAATTCGGTTGACAAAATTCACAATTTACACCTTCTGTATTATGCATACATCCATGACAGTTGCCACCAGATACATTACCAGATTTACTAAATAATACAGGGTTAAAGAAACATGCCGTTGCATGATTATTACAATTGCATTCTGAAAAAAAGGACACAGACATGCAAATAAATATTTTATGTGAAAATGGTAGATTGGTAGTTAAAAAAAGATTCTGATTCATATTAAGAAAGTAAATGTGAGTTTTAATTGTATCCTATCGAATACATATAGGAAACATAAGTGTGACATTGATCGAAGATACATTTTTTCTATAAATTCTAACCGACGCACATGTTAACCGCTTCCAGACAACAAAATGAAAAATAAACATTGTTTCATGGAAGTTCGAACCCAAAAAGGATGTAATAATTGTTAAATTCTCAAATTACAATATGAAGATGAGGGAATTATGGAGACTGTCAAAATTTTTGATTTACTTATATTAATAATAATAATACTATGCTCACTAGTAACTACATTCGAGATGTAAATCGCGGATTTCCTTTGAGAAGCAGTGACCATTTGGACTCAGCGGAAGTGCTGAACTTACCAAACAATGATAATGAAAGATAGTTGTTCAATATAGCAAATTCTTCAAAGTAAAAAATGTAAACTGTTAGACACCGAATCAGTGGTTTGAGGGTTAAGAGCTCGCCAGGAGACCTAAGAGTTTTGGGTTCGATCCTCAGTAGGGTCATGCATGCTCATTACTGAAAAGTTCCATTCTATGAGTAAACAGTTGTTTAGAGCGTACCAATTTTCAGTAATTGCCTAGTTGAGTTTAATCCGTAATGTAAACCACAAATTATTGTAACTTATTTATCGTTATGACAGCAATATGGGATTGGCCATTGAGGATGGACTGACAGACATTAACTATAAAAATACGTAGTTTCCTTCTGCTAATTTTTATACTGTGCTCTTAGAGTGCAAACTGCTTTTAAATGGGTTGAATAAAAGATTGTCTAGTGTCCAATCTGGTTCCTTACTATTGTTTGTGAATAGTAGATCTATATAACATGATCTGGTCTATGCACGGTGTACCAATCGAGTGTCCAGTCTGATGGTAATATAATCTCGGTCACCACTAAAATTGTCATATCATAATAGCATACCGTTATATCATACCTGTTATATTAACAACTAGAATGTCCTACTTTTACTAAGAAACACCAACTTAATTATCCCTAAATCTAAAGGTTGATTTTTGGCCAACTGACTTTCGTATTCTTAATTGTTAAGCTTAATATATCATCGATTAAAGGTAATCGAATTACTTATTTAGTGATGAGTATGGTATTTTTCAAATATGTTTCTTAATTGTTCAACAGTCTACCGTAAATATTTTCAATTGAAAAGAAAACAACCCTGAACTTACTTTCACATGCATTAGCAGCGTCTCTTGTTGCTGGCATCCATGGTTTATTCCAATGAAAATCAGCACAGGTTTCACAATTTTCACCAGCGGTATTATGTGTGCATTCGCATACACCATATACCTTTATTCGTGAGAAAGAAACGAAAACAAATAGAAAATAAGTGTATTTTTTAAAATTAATATTTTGTTCACTTTAAAACACTATAACAATGTTACTGTTATGTTGTGCAGTTAGCCTAATCTACTACTGATAATATACACTTCTAATATATGTACCTAAATCAGCTAATTGAGTAAGAAAACTAAAAGTGAGTAATATGTTTTTATGAACTAATCGAATCAAGATGATTTAAGATCGTAGGATAATTATTGATTATTTCATATGGTCATAAATATTTACTTTCAAGAAATAAACAGAAGTGTGAATTCAATTTAAGTATTAGCTAAATATAAGTGAAAATATATTAAACACGTTTCCAAACATTTTTGTATTCAAAACTGATAAAGTTCTTTTCTCATTTAATATTTCTTCAATTATATGTACTGTTTAAATTTTTGTAAAATCTCAGCGAATGAATTTGAAGTAAATCCAACGTTTCACTTGGCAATCTGGTCTAAGCTTTTTCAAAAACATATAATCAAATATCAAAATTATCGAATATAAATAGGTACATGATTCTCCGGTTCACTGTATACTGAATAAGTCATCCAATCAACGTTAACAATGTTTTCTTCTCAATAATAAATTCTTTTCTTTGTATAAGTGAACCATCACTTTTAAATATTGCTCCCAAATGCCCTGGTACGGCCGAGAGTGGAGAGAGTTCGCTCTCCCTCTGAAATGCTCTCACACGACCCCGCTTATATAGCATCTGCCAGGGAAGTTCTACTCACTGTTCGGGCAGTATCACAGCCCTCACACAAATCAAATGAGATTTGTGTGGCGCATATGTATCTGGTGCTCTCTTGTATCAATATCTATGTGTTCAAATAAATAATAAATAATAGTTTTAAATAATCATTTCTACTCTACTGTGTACTTTACATTCTTCTCCTATTCAGTAAATATTAACATGTAGCCAAAACAATATTCTATCATCATTAGGATGATGGTGATAATAATTCAGTGAAAAAAAAAACATTAAAGAGAATTTATTTACTTTTTCTGGTTTAATGATTTCAGCAGATGATTTTGGTTTACAACGTAACGCATGACCAAAACATGTACATCTACCCCATACATTCCATTCATAAAGTGCATAATAGTATTTACGTCGTGTCAATGGTGAATCATCAACACGCATATCACCTATTTATAAAACGAAAGATAAATAAATAAAATTCATTCCAAAAAAGAAGATAAACGAATCGTGTTGTTTAGAACAATAAGCTAAATACTTAGTAACTAAAATATGATATTTCTACATAAGTTTATAAATTACATTTTAAAAATATATTTTTTGTATTAACGGAGATATCTTGAAGAAACCATGAAATAATCTATTAAGAATTGAACCCCTTTAATGAACTAGTTCAGAAGCATTTACTGTTTCATGTTATAATTACTTATGTAAGTGCTTTTATAGAGAATTCATAAACGTTGGAAGGAACAGAGTCAACATGAACTTGAATCTATCTATACACTGCAAATTTTCATCTATTCGTATTTGTATGATACAATTAATTCATAATTGATTAATGTCATTTTTACTTAGTCCCTTAGTGTTGATAGAATTTTATGGATCATGTTGCAAAGTGGTCCAATAGATGACACTGTGTATACTATGTTTAGACATTTAGATGGTTGGATATAATCATGAGGAAACCCTGGACCAAGTTTCGTGTTATGGTTGACAAATAAGGCAAACATGGTCAATACTGTAATCAATCATTTTTGAACATTTCAATCCTACAGAAGATCAGAATAGACTCGAATAATTCAATCAAAATGTCTTAGACTGTGAAGCCAGGATAGCGTGAGTTCAAAGCCCATATAGAAATTCAACTGCCAGCAACTTGAAACCACCTAAAATCTTAACATTAAATGTAACAAAGACCATATAAAATACCTATCACTTTTCATGTATGAACTATTAATTCATATTATTTATTTATGGGAACAGATTTCACAATCATTTTCAAATAATAAACCTGTCAAAATGATTTTTTATTGTTTATGAACCAAAAAAATTTATAAGTAATCTGTATTGTGATTGTGAATTGTTTATAACATATAAAGTACAATAAAATTACTAAGCTTTACAATTTATATATATATAGACTATGTGATCAGAAAATTCAAATAAACGTTCAATTCAATTCAGAATTTCTCATAGTCACTTTATTTAACAATGATTGAAATATTTTCATGGTAGAAATCTTTTATAATCTCTAAATGCTCAATCATGAAGTGATATTTGTTTAGATATTTCATAAATCAATTTTAAGTAACATGAAACCTGTCACGTATATTCTCTCAGATCAGCATCAGTACAGTGATATTAAAGCATCAAGACAGATCCTAGCGTAATAGATGTAGTAATAGTATTAATGGTAGTATAAAAAATCAAGCATAGTTAAGTTATATAGAGAGAAAAGAGTAATTTTTTGAAATAAAGAAAGCAAATGATCATTTTAAGACTCTGGATATGTTTAAATACTAAGATTGGATTAATTTAAACCAATGAGAACAATTTTGAGTCATTTCATTTAGTTTTCAACTATTGGGTATCATAATCTAGAGGACCGTAGCTATGTAGTCTGCATCTAACTAAATTGGTCAATATGACAGTCAGTGACTTCATGAAATGATTTTACATATAGGATTGGCTGTCCTATCTTTCTGCCAACCTAATGCTACACCGGCAAATATCGCGCCTCCAGTGAGACAGTGGTTCAGAGTACGTAATGCATGTTCCAAAAACTTCAGTCGACGAAGGTCCACTACCTCATCAGCCGATTTGCCATTTTTGTACAGAAAACTAAAACCTCAGCATCGCTTACTCACAGTTGGAAACAATTAGAAAACGTGGATCTACGTTTCATGTTGATTGTTATTCATAAGTAAGATAAATCTGCACTCGTTCAAAAATTGATTCTGTGATAGGACTTAAACCTGAATCTGTTGGATGTTTACACAAATAAAGATTATATTTTCACCAGGGTCAAGTTTAATTCAAATGAAATATCAATCTCTTTTTCGTCTACAGAAAAGATAGGAAGTTATTGTTTTTTGTCTGATTGTAACTTTTGTATTTCTGACAAATAGAGCTTTCATTCTCCAACAAAACTTGCGTCTTTAAGTCAAATCAACTTTAGATAAATAAATTCATATAATTGTGATTTTAGTTTGTTTAAATGAAAGAAAAACAGTAAACACACAGAATTTAAGGTATTTCGTTTCGGTAGATATGATTATTATAAGCATAGTTAACATCACAAAGCAATATCGTGGAGAGAACCTTTGAAGAAAACTCAGTTCAGAAAATTTGTCTTGTTATTATTTTAAATTAGTCAGTAATATTAAATCCTCAGTCCTTATTCGTCTCAAAATTAGGAAGATTTGTGATGATTGAGTTATCGTTCACTAAGCTTCTCTGATTAAATTTATGTTCTGATATGAAACTACAGGTTTTTCAAGTCAACAGTCTTACATTAATTTATCGCTGAGCCTGAAAGACACCACAAATAACTGATATCAATAGTGTTTTTGTTAACATTTTATTCTTTGTGCACTACAAGAATAAAACTAGGGAAAATCCGATACAACTATGGGCAAACATATTTTAAGTCTAATTAGTTAATTCTAATAAGAGAAGTCCATCAAACCATGATATTTATTACTGTGTGATGTTGAAATTGTTTAAATAATATCATTCACAAAAGGCCTATCGATGTTTGAATAGCTCACTCATTCATACTGTACGTAGTGTTTAGGTTTTACAAATTTCATTAGCGAAATTCTAGTAAAATCGAATTAACTTAGCTGATAATTCTAACATTTTTTCCCTAGAAATTCTAATAAATGCTAACACTTAAGAAAATAAATTATGAACTACTACATCCTCTATATTCCATGACGGAGTTTTTAGGCATTAACTATTCCAGATAAACATTGAGGAGTATATATTTGTCTTACTCATTACTGAAAATGGTAAATTTTGTCCATTATACTGAACATTTGTCTAGTGAACACCACAATTAGGTTATACTTGGACTGTATCAACTTAATATTCACTATTCAAATAAATATTGTAGACCATCTATATAAATATTTATTTATCTATTAGATTTTACTTAGAAAAATAGAACCGGTATGACTATCACTAAACTTTCTTAATTATACAACAATATAAAGCTTATAGATTTTTATTTTATAACTAGAAATATGATTATGTTTTGAATAATTGGACAGACCGGGTTGAAGTATACTGGTCGGCGGCCCTATGCTTCATTGGGAGTAACAGGCGTAAGTAAGTAAGTAGGTAAGTAAGTAATGATTATGTTTTCCTAGAATTATTACAGTGTTAAGCACTGATTTTATTATTTGCATTTGTTACATTTTCCTTCAAAATTCTAAAATAATACTTGGAATTCTCTATGTTTTCTTAAAAAACTTTTGTTTAATGATATCCAATCATAGTAAGTTTGTATCTAAATATAGACCAACCAATACACTGCATCACTTACTATATATATGTACTAGTTATTACATCAATGAACTGATTTGAAAAGAAAAGGGTCGAATACCTCAACAACATGTACTACTGTAAAATTTAAATAAGATAATTGGTATCATTTGTTAAATAGTGAAAATCATTCAATGAATACATAAACTAGTTTATATCAATAAAAATTAATGACTTTTATATAGTTACTGAGGTTTACTATGATGTAAGAAGAATATATATATATATATATATATATATATATATATATATATCATTCTATTTTTATAACTTCATTCAATATGATAACATTGAATTACGTTCAAATAACAAAAAATTGAATTCATCTAAACAAAACATTGGCAATAACATTCATTACATGACTATACAGTTTAAAGTTGTTTATATATATATATATATATATATATATATATATATATATATATATATATATATATATATATATATACGAGATTACCGGTACATATAATTAAATAATTACACATTAGTACATGAGAGTACCATATGTTATTTGAATTAGACCGGAAACACTAATTGAAAACTAATATTGTTATTACTCCGTTTTCGTGTTTTCATCGAACGTAAGATAAAGAATGTAGTCTGCTGAACTGACTGACCTTAAATTATACTGATATCCATTTATATAAACAGTATATGTGTATTATTTCGCTATATACCTTAGGCATTTAAATTTGGACTGGATTTAATCAAATATTACTGATGGATTTCACAAATACTAATTTGAAACTTCCTTTGATTTCGGTTTTTTATAAATATGATCAGTACATTTTGTGTAATTCCCAGTGAAACTTTAATTAGCTTATTATATGGACTAAGAATTTCATTATCATTGTAAAAGATAAGACCTGGAATATTCGAGAAATACTAAACAATTCATAACATAACTGAAGCTTAAAGAATAAAACGCTTGATTAATTTCAAAGAAAACACTTTCATGCGGATATTTTGTTAAAATGAATACATTTTGTCATGGAAGCCAAAGTGTACTTTACAGATGTTTGGGCTTTATTCAAAACTCTTCAATAGTGCGTAATCACTGTCTTATATAAGGTTGAACCAAGGACCTTCAGGTCACACAACAAGCTCTATACTGTCCAATTGTTTTAAAGGTTTATTTAGGTTTGGTACCTTTCATAGTCACTCAATTAGATAGTGAGCCACTTATTCGTTGATGATAACCGTATAGTAGTTCCCAAGAGAGATGATGATCATGTCTTCAATTCTGCCTTAGTTTATATTATGTATTACTCTCTATCTTTGACTGGTTTCCAAAAGGCATCGTTTTGTTACCATTACGATTTTCGAAAAGGTTCCAATCTTTTGTGTTCTCCATTCATCAATACTTATCGATTTTTTTTAAAATATCTGTTAATTATTGAAGTCATCCATTTTTAAGTTGATATAAATCACTGGATATACTTATTTAAATTTACCATGCGTTCCGCTTGGGCACTATTTTCGATAATATACTATTTTTTTACACGCCGCCCGTCGCTACTACCGATTAAATGGTTTAGAGAGGTTGTTGGATTGGTGTCGTTGTAGTGGTTTTTCCGCTCTACTGATGCTGAGATGACTTGGTTTGACCACTTAGAGGAAGTAAAAATCGTAACAAAGTGTCCGTAGGTGAACCTGTGGGAGGATCATTATCATAACCCAAAAATATATAGTGGAGCATGCACCTAGCTTCCTGCTGTACTGCATGTACGCTGGCTTAGCGGTATTTACCCCAGGCTTCAGAGGTTATTAATTTATTAATTTGAACATATTTTCAACACAAATTTGTTATTTCGAAAAAAAACAGACAAGATAAAATCCTGTTTTTAGTGTAGACATATTCGAACTCAAATTAAGTGACAGTGAAACCAAGAAAGAACAACAAGGTTTGAAGAATTAAACGAGTTCATTAGTCTATTTCACCGTTTCTCATCAGCTGCATACAACCTAAAATTACAATTATTAATTATAACAAATGTATTAACATATTTTTGTTTGTGCAGTTTAAATAAATGGTTGAAACGCAATCAAAATTAACTGGATTACGGAGAAGAATAGATCGATTTTATTTTGTAAAAATCCTCTTTTACCTACCTAAGGTATTAATTCTGGTAAAAACAGCTCGCAGATTAGTAATTGCTGTCAAATTCATACGTTCTTTACTGTACTGAGGCCATGATTGATGCATTTCACTTGGGGCAGCCATATAAGCAACCTAATTTGTGTACATATACACATAAGTATGAAAATAATCATAAAAGAGTATTTAACTTTGAAAACTACTAGCATAGTGAAATAATTAATAAACTCATCCAGTTATTCAACTATTTTCAAATAAAACTTTGAAAAACCCAAGAAAATCTTACCAGTGCATTATGAACAACATAGTGGTATACTTCAAATATGACAAAAAGAATTTGAATATAACTGCTATACATTTTATGGTGAAACTTTTATTAACACACATTCAAGATGATTTTTAAAAAGAAACAACTATGTATGATGTAAACATAGTGTTAAGGAGATCCTTAAATTTCATTGAAGTCATGAATTGATCTAAGTTAGATCAGCATTGAATACCTAGAAGCACTGGACGGGTATTTCATCCTAGTATAGGACTCTCCAGTGGTGTATATCCATGACCTTGGGTGCGGTAATCGAGCCTAGGATTTTCGGTCCCGCATGGATGCTTAGCTTTTAGACCACCGAGCCAACATCTAACAATTTTAATATCTAAATTCAATCAACCCGAGATACTGTGTGACCATCTTCCATTGTCTTCAGTGAGTAACTGCCTCACATTTGATACGGCTGATCTCCACTTGTCACAGATTCTGATTAGAACTCCGTAAATTTTCTCTCGAAGCTAGTCGCTGGCGAACATATAATAATTGTAAGTATATTGTTGTGGAAATAGCCGAGTTTGATTGAAATCCTGAATCGACCAGTGATGTGCTACACACACATTTATTATTAGGATATTACTTCATTTGGTCTCTGATAGTGATAAAAAATCTGTTCATTAATTCAACTCTCAACTGACAATAAATATATGCGTCAAAAAATCAGCAAATACTTTTCATCTCAGTTCTGTTTTAACATTAAATTTTACTTTGTTAACTAAAACTATATCCTAATAAAGCTCTCCTTGAAAAACAACTTATTAGGCAACATCTTGTTGTATACTTCTGTCTCTTTTCTAACCAAGCTTCCATTCTGCGCACATTTTCTTGCTATAAAGTTAAGGAATAATAACCTATGGATTTCTGCGATTTCTGCTAAACTCTAAGTTTTAATTTTCAAGGGTTTAATGTAATAAATGTTTATTAATGATTACAAGTGAAATCCATCATTACTATTCAGTCTTTTTTGAAAATCAATACTTTGATTTCGGATTGGCATTCTGAAGAAGCTCTGACAGGGTCCTCATGAAAAAAATTGAAATTATTTGAAATATATCACTGAGTTTATTTTACATATATTTTCTTTATACATCTAATTTCTGATGGTGTTCTGTTAGTATTTTCTCCATAATTTGTATTTCTATTATTTAACTTTATATTTGAATTTATGAGTCGATTCAGCTTAGATTTACTCAACAGATGCCTTAGAAATATTGCTGGTATCTACTGGCATCACCAGGTAAGCAATAGGGAAGTTAGATGCAAGGTATTAGGAAATGATGGTAAATCAGTTGATGAAGTTGTGAATCTTCATCGACTGAGATGGTTGGGTCACGTGTTGCGTATGCCTGAACACCGATTACCGCAACGCGCAATGCTGGCAAAACCAAAACGTGGCATCAGTGCTTGAAGTCACTGATTTCTAGTCTGAGCCATGTCGGTAAATGCAGACTACTTGGTTGGGGTCCGTGTGACTATCGTAACCAATGACTGGAGACTTTGGTTGATGTTGCTCAGAATCGGTCACAATGGCGTCGCTTCATATCTTTTTTTCTGAGAACTAATTCTTTCTTCCTATACTATGTCTTTATATGTAATCTTTCTTTTATATATTACCACAACTGAATTAATTACTTCTATGAATTTGGTGTTCTTCTTGTTGTGCTAATGAGGTATGGCAACTTGAACCGATGTACATATGTACCTGATCTTATGTTGTAGCTGACTGACTGACTGACATCTACTCAACTATTAAAATTACCATAATCGTCACAAACCCCCATTCTTTCTGTTACTATTTATTTATATATAAACATACGAAAATTTTGTGATCTATATCTTGTTTGTGCATATTAGTAATTATTTATCAATCACATTAAATGATTTTTTTAGATTAAGACAGGTTGATTTCAATAAAAGTCGTTTTATTTCATTTGCATCATCATAATTAAATTTTTTCGTCATGGGTATAAATATGTGTTAATACAGCTAATAAATAATGATCAGTATTATCGATTTTTACCGGTACAAAATCGCGATCATTTTTTAGGACAATATGATAATGAATAAATAATTATTTACGCTTAAAAATTTAGTCGGCCAGTCAGATACAACGTAGAACTTGTCACATCTGTATATAGGTTCAGGTTGTCACACTCCAGAGTAAACCCTGGGGTAGCAGAAGTAGTCGCAGTATAAATTGTAATAGAAAAATTTATATGGAATTCATAAACCTAGGATCTAAGAGAAGATAAAATAAATCCATTTAGGCCGTTGCCAACGCTTCTGAGCCATATCACCGGAAGTCTCTGACTACTGGTTACGATAATCACCCTAACCCAGATAGTTTGTACCTACCTAACTATCTATATGGCTTAGTCTAGCAATCAGTGTCTTCATGGGCTGATGTAATGTTTTGGTTTGACCACACCTAGCTTTCTTCCAACCTGCACCAGCCATTATCGTGGAAGGGTGTATGTAATACATATCCTAACCAAATCGGTCGATAAAGACTCACTAACTTGTCAGTCGATTTACCATTTCTACCTAGTGTTCTCCAACTAGCCTCAGAGCTATTAAGTCGATGGTCCCGAAATACGCAAACGGTGCTTCGAATTTACTTATAATTAAATACCAGTAACCTGAGAATACTCTGTATTTTTAAAAACCATGTTGCACACCCATAAAAAAGAATGGAGAAAACTACTGTGCAGTTAACCTGTTCTCTAGTTGGTAAACTGATATCTCACCTACATTACAAGTAACATAATATGGCAAAATTTAACCAAGTTTGCTGATTTCATTGCCGAGATTTCATCAAACTCCAACCCACCAGGGCTAGTGAAACTTACAAGATAAATAAAGATGGACACACTCAAATACTTGACTCTATCCTTAATCCGATCGTCGATGAATAGCAGTCCTGAAGCAAGACTTGGCATTTAGATGGCAAGGAGCGTATCACAAAAATGCCTGTATTGTTGCTTAAGGTTGTTAAAAGACTGTACTTTTTTAGATTTTTGACCAAACAGAACTATATCAATTTATACGGATATTCGTCAATATTAGAACGAATTGTTTGACAAAAATTGGGCACCGAGTATATAAAAGTCGTTATAAGTGAAAATTATATTTGATGATTTTGATTTTGATTATTATCCTGAAGAAGTCCAAACAAGTTTGCTGAACGAAACTTTGGAATTATTTAAATTTCAATCGCTGAAATTGTTTCAAATATAATTTTCACTTACAAGAACTACATTAAATTTGTATTCTAGTTCAACAAATTAGATATATGCACCAAACAGTTCAGACTAGTTAGAAGGAATAAAATGTAAACCGTTTCTACGAAAAGTAATTTCTCTGATGACATTTATTCACATCCAATTGTTAAAGTTGTTGAAAGTTGAAAGTTTATTTTGCATTTTACAATGTTAGGTAGTATCTGGCAAATCTGTAATAAAATCGCTGGTTATATGTTTTGTGTCAGCTATAATTACATGAAATTTTATGTAAAAAGGTAGATTAATTCATCACTGATTATTAATTTCTAGCTTGGTAACTAATCCTTCGAGATAAACATACTATTTGGTTTATGTTTTCAATAACCTTCTACAAAGTAATTGACTTAGTGATACCTAATTCTATCGTCAATGTATACAGTTATGGTTATACAATAGAGTCTTACACTTTTCTAATCATCAGTGGGAATTATTTTCACTCATTGAATTCTCATTATTGAAAGATAAAAAATTGTATGATTCAGCCAAATGACTACATAGTTATTACTGTTCTATTTACAAATATCAATTCTAATTAACGTTTTGATTAGACAGCATGATATTGTTCATTGGCTGAAGTCCCATATGTGAACAAGTCTGATTGTTAATTTCTCTACTTTTAATTCCCATTTATATTTGAATATCAGAAAACTAACTAACAAACAACTAATGTTTAGCAGTGAAAACTTAGTAAAAATTTATCCGAAGAACAGTATTCAGGTTACTTAACCTAGTTGTAAAGTCAAGGCTATGAAACATGACTAAAATTAACCACATTTCAGTTTAACTTCAGTTACTAACTGAATTTTACATCCAATATTCGCTTGAATTAAAGTCATGTATAGGTTTATATGTTATCAAAGTATCTGATGGGGTAATTGTTTTTCGCATCAATATCTGGTCTATTTATTAAGAGTAGAAAAGTGCGAAACTTTGATTAATCAAAAGAAAAATGTAGAGAGAGATAAATTTATTTTAACTTTAACTCAAGGAGTCATTCATAGTGACATCATTAGTATGTACATCATTTTGATATGAATTTCAAAGTAGAATAAATTCTTTTAATTAAAAAATTCTTATTAAAGTATAGTAAACTGTCATAGCAACCAACTATTGACCAATTCCTTTACGAAACTTTATTACTGTAAAATTTATATTTAACAAAAGTTTCCTTCAAAATATTATTATATGAGATTTTGTATACTACTGATAAGTGGTAATGTTCTACTTTCATTTATCGTAACTCAGGTATCTAAATACTCTTGATATTTAAAACATCTGAAGGACTTAAGTGATATAGACAATACTTTCTTACATTGATTAGATTAATATTTATTAATTTTGTAAACCAGTATGATATTTAAATTTGGCAATTTTTCAGTTTATTCAATCTAATCTTGTAGTATTTAGTCTATGATCTGTTTTTACATAGAACAGGTTTTATAATATTTGCTTCTACCATCTTGTTTAAGTTACGTGTCAAAAGAGGTTAATCTATTTCTTTGTGATAGACGGTGTGACTATAAGTTTTGAACGACTTTTGAGAGACGCTAGACTAACTTTGAGAGTGTTTACTTAATAATTAGGACCAAATGAGGGTTAAAAACCAGCGTAAGGAATTAGAATTATAATTTACAGTTGATAATTAAGGTTAAGAATTAGATTTCGGGTTTTCATCACAAACTGGCATCAACTTCAATGCCAAGACTCTATTTAACCAAATGGATGAGTGAATTTCGTGCCAAAATCCGAGACCTGTTATCTCATACGTGACTGGTTCGCCCATAAATTATAGTCTCGCCCGATAGACTACTTGTGTCTACAACATCTTTATAAAAACTATTTAAGTAAGGTTTTTAACCCGATATTATAGCTAATTTGCTAGAATATTTCTCACTTGAGTTTGCCCAAACTACCCGATTAATCTTTGTCTTTAATAAAATACTTATAAACAAAATACAGTAAATGTAGAAATCATAATGCATATATTAGATCATGAGTCAGTTGAAGCCAGACCACCATGGAAAACCTGGAAGCACTGAACTGCCGTTTCGTCCTATTATGGGACTCCTCAGCAGTGCGCATCCACGTGACTGGCCTCAAGAGGTATATCCTGGAGTTCTAGTGAGAAGTAGTGATCAATGGAGTTCAATCAGGTCTATTGTGAGATAGTAACTCACTGATGACAATGGTGGATGTGTCGCTCAATTTCGTGGATTAGTTGAAGTTAGACATTAACACCGTTGGATGCCGGCTCAGTGGTCTAGTGTTTAAGTGCTCGCGAGCGAAACCAGTAGGTCCTGGGTTCGAATCTAGCGGGGGACGAGGTAGTGGATGTGCACTGCTGAGGAGTCTCACAATAGGACGAAACGGCCGTCTAGTGATCCTAGGTTTTCCACGGTGGTTTATCTTCAACTGACTCATGATCTTAACCACTGAAATTATTACAATCGCCACAAAACCATTTCTGATAATAAGCATATATTAGAAATCAAGAAACATACCACACCTCCTTCAGAAGGTGTAAGTTGACTATAAACTCCAGTACAAGTTACATCAGTCAACGATCGACGAGGACCTTCAGGTACAGCGGGAAAATCTCGTTTGCAGTTATTTGAAAAATAAGCATAACGTGCCCATGTACGTCCAAAGTCATAAGAACGTTCTAAGTACATAGCCGCTGGACGATAAGTTTTAAAACGTAGAATCGTTGAAATAAATTGAAATTGTGTATCCAGATTCAGTACAATTGACACATTGTGTACTGCATTCTGTGACTGCCACCTGAAATTAAAGTGTGAAGTTTTTTATTTGACAGAATACACAAACCTGAAGGATAATTAAAAAATTATATAATGTTTCGATAATGAAATAAAAAGGAATATCAAGGAACTTAGTACTGTCAAAAAATCACCATGGAACGTATCTTAAGATCAACATATATCCAACCGACTACTATCGTAATGGAAAGAAGTTACATTGTATCAATAAATTTGTTGTCCATATTACGAATTCAGATAGTAAAAAGGTGGCTAATTCAAAATTCAAAAAAAATTATTTCTAAATCAAAACCAATCCATGTAACCTGTATAAGAGGTTTATGTGGATTGTTCGGTTTTCATAGTTTACGTCAAGAACTGATCGTAGTTAAACAACCAATGAAGAACGGAAAGCACGGACTGCAGCTCTTTTGACCTAGTGCCGGGCTCCTCAGCAGCGTATATCCATAGTTCCACAGGTGATCGAACTCAGGGCCTTTAGTTAAGCACCGAGCACTCAGCCGCTAAATTACTAGGCTGGAAATTTGAGACTCAGTAGTTTGCTAGTTATGCAAAAATTATACGAACGCTTTACATAGATATTTAAGATATAGTTTGAAATCCATTTATTAATAAAAGCAACAGTTATCTTACTTTTCTACGTGCTGCTATATGCTAATAAATTCTAAAGCCTAGTTTGATAAAAATAAATTTATAGATTATTGATTAAATGTAGAACTAACTGTAGTTACAAGTCAATTACTGAACAGGAAATTCAAAGAAGTTTAGAGTATTGATTCACTTTTGTATTGGTTACTTGAATATTCCCACTGATGTTTAAGACTGCACTTGACCAATCTTTCATTGGCATATTTGTATCCAGTACGGATTGCCTCGATGTTACCTTCAGTCACAAGTATTATAAGCAACGATGGATGGTGGCTAGCAGGTGAATTCAGGACGCGCGTTTCGTCATATTTGGAACATACCAACTGGATATACTTGCACCAAGAGTTGATTTTCCCTCCGAGACTCGACTTATAATGCTTGTGACTGAAGGTAATATCAAAGCGATCTGTACACAATGCACATATGTCAATAATAATAATAAAATCTGATGAACATACCGAAAATATCTCCACTCACAACCTCATTGAAATGAACTTGGAAATTAAATAACAAGTGAAAGAATACCTACAGTTTCCAATAAGGTTTTGTTTATGAACAATGAATTCAAAAGCGATATTGCATCGGTGATTTTTAAAAATTAGTTGTCATGATCACGTATAAAGACAAGTATTTCAAATTTTCAAAACGTCTTCCTAGTAGATGACTGATTCAAGGATAATTTATAGTCAAGTTACGGTTTTCCATCAAATCAATTTGGATTTACCAGTTCACTTCTTTTTTAGGAAGGGGCAGTACTGGCAAAGAATCACTCTTCATGGCTTTCTAGAAGCAAATACATAGTGACAAGTTGTGCCATCCTCAAATATCTTATCAACTTCGGTCATGTGGTCTTCTCCTTAGGAGTAGCGCCTAAAATTATTTATGAGCTCAAAAAATGAAGCTTAAAAACGTAAAACATTGAAAATCTGTCCCCCGTAGAATTGTTGACAGTTCATTATTTCAACCTTCTAAGCTCACAAACAACACGTACCATGGTCTTATAAATTGATACTTGAAATAATTTATTATGATTTAAGTCATTCCTTCATAACTTTAAAAGTAACCCAATTCTCATTTCCCCTTTTTATCCTTTTTTAGGTGGACAGTTAACTTCCATCGATGGTCCACTTTCTTTTTTTACTTCTCAATAATCCGCCGATTATCACATCATGTTATTTTGATACTTCAAAACGCCTGCAGTCATTTCACTTAAATAGTACAATATCCATTTTATTTATTATAGACTTATATGTGTAAAATAACTATATATACAACTGTATAGCACTTGTAAATGATACAAGTTTAGAGGAAACTTTTTTCGCTAGACTGTCTCAATATTTTCATCACTATTTCTAAAGGTTTCCTTTATTGTTTGAATATAGACGCAAAACACCATTTTGTCACCTAACCCATATATAACATAACCCACATAACATTTAAGTTCATCTTGTGTGTTTATCTAGCTGACTGAAAAGAATTTAGCACATACAATTTTGTTTTTCATCTTGAAAAGAAAGTAACAATTGAAAATGATATATAAAGTGGGTAACTGAAAAACAATCAGGTAAACCTAGCATTGAGTGACATTTCACTCAGTGAATTTGGACATATTTTGTTCCGTCTGAAAGGAACTAAATTTAGATTATATTATGCTGATCTTGATTTTCCAAGCAGAATTATAGAACCACTTATAATCTTGGAAATAAAGTAATTATTTGACAAGTTTCCAATCAATTACCCACTTCTATGTAGCGATTATTACAAAATTTAAATACAATCTGTATCCGCTAACAGTTTCTTGTTAGACGTTTATTACTAAAACTTCTATCGAAATTCCCTTGATATACTTTGTCTTACAAATAAGGTCATAGTGCTCAAATGGAAAACATAATAAATACACTAAAGACGCTCAAAATTCACTATGAAAACTAAGACAACAAATAAACCTGTTGAATCTATGTCATATCTACCATAACATCCTAAATCTAGTGTAGTTAGGTGGGCTACAACAAGCGCAACTTTCCCTTCGAAGCGGAAAATAACTTTTCTCTAAATAGTAATCATTTTTAATCCTGATAGTGTCAATTCATAAGAGTTGAGTAGGTTGATTTAATGGACTAAAATTTACTGGGGTATCAAAGGAAATGTTTCTCTGACCAACCCTACATTTCTTTATTTAGAGGAAGCGATCATTCGTGGATTGACTTTCTATACTTTTTGACTCGATAGATAACTGTAATTCAGTGCATTATTTCTCCACTCATCAGTCTTTTTTGAGTGAATTAAAGTGTTCTGCCTATTTTCAAGATGTATCCTAGCAATATTAAAAAGTACAGCGATAAAATTCATGAAAAGCGGCTACCAGAGGTAAGCTGGTGTCACCTGGTGTAAAATGGCTTGTAGTCTGATTTGAAGCAAAGGTTGATGCGGCATATATGAGTCGACAAAGGGATTTAAAAGGGTAATTCCGACCAAAGAGTTTTACCAAAATAAGCAGAATTGCAAATGAGTTCTGTCAATGTTTCATATCTTGAAAGGCACTCAGAAATATATGACAGTCTTAATGAGAAATCTAGTCTAATTTCTGGCAGAAAACCTTAAAATCAACAAAATTCTGCTAATCAAGCCTCAAAAACATTGGTTAATTACATTTCTGTACGAGACACTATATTGATTCTTAATCTAAAAAAGAGAGGGATCAGAAAAAAGTAAAAGAAAGGAGGGTAACAATTTGACATCAAAAATCCATACCAAGGCACCTCAAATGCACTTAAGGACTCAAGTCTAATTACTGTAAAAAATCAGTCACTTTCCTTAGACCTGCAACTTGCTCATCACACAAAAAGGTTCAGGAAAAAAAGGCTTAAAATACTCTTGGGAGCTGGATAGAAAAGCCAAGGATGATGAAGTCCTGAACATTGGGGCCCTGTAAACAAATGCGCTATCCCATTATTCTAAGGTTAAAGTTCTATATCCTTGATGACAAACGACAACCAGTGCATTTTCTGAATACAAAATATAGGGTAAACTGTTTCGTACAATAAGTTATACGCTTTTGGCTGCGGTCCGAATACAAAAATTGTTAGGGAGTAAGGTGGTCTCAAACTACTAAATAAATTTGATATGGAAAATTCAGCGGTACCAGACAAAATACATTCCAAGCCAATAAGCGGGTTTAAAACTTTCATTTTGAAAGATTTCTTCACACAATTCAACCTTTGTTCAACGTGGCGTAAGCTTTTAGCCCTCAACAAAGACAATATAGTTAATTCTGGCTCTAAAATATATAAATAGATGTATTTTATGAGCTGTCTGGCTAATTTTTATCTAAGCACAGTGGTCTAGAAGTCAACATCATTCAAAAACTCATAGGACATATGAATCATTAGCTGGTAAATGTTTTAAAACCCAGAAAATTATATTTCAGGGCATTTTACAGATAACTTACTCGACCAAAATTCAGGTGTTGCAAAAAACATCTGATAACCCCATAAAAACGACAGAGATGCTCGAAAATGTCCAAAGAACGGCGAATTAGCTATCTCATATATTTCTTGTTACCTTATGATGTATTTTCGAAACTAATCTCACTGTTAACATCATTTGGAACGACTGAGGTTAGCTTAATGAAATTCTGCTCACAACGTATCAATGAACATTTATGTGACACGTCCTCACTTTTGCATATTAGAATAGCAGATTTACAAATGGAAAAAATGTTTATATCTTCAAACCCGAGTTCTTTACTCGAAAATTTCTCGCTAAATCATCAAATCGACTCAACTATTTGTTTACAGACGTTTTATTCCAAACTTGCTGAGGGACTATCATCACTAGAATTAACTCAGAACTTTCAGACTCTTGTTCTCTCGACACTGAATGTAACTACAAGTATCTAGGATTATTTGTGTCACATGCAACAAAATTTATCTACACCTTTAGTATTATTTATGCTTTATAATCATAAACGAACTATGAAAGAAGAAATTATTTGATCTTAGAAAGAAGCCTAAGTCACTATCACAAAGAATTCTTTGTGAACATTGTAAGCTCCCAGATATTTGCATCGTATTTATTCAGTACAAGGGTAGCATGAAAATTAGAGTAGAAAGTATAATAACGCAACTTGCATACCATCTTCCAGGGTTGCTTGGTACTCGTGAAACAACATTTTCTACACGATGACTTTCAGGATTGGTTATGGAGTTATACGGTTGTTTAGAAGTACATTCTTTACAATAGCTTTTTCCACTGGTTGTCACAACGCAGTAGGCCTCAACTTCGTTCAAGCCACAAGTTGAAGATGCAATAAGTGAACTTTCCCGACCAATCAACAAGTCACCGGCTCGAGGATTACATATGGTATTTTCACAAGAATAGTCCTCCGAAAACGCAATTTCATATGAAGCTATAAAAGTGTTTGATAATTGATATTACAGTACCTGTTGTGAAAACATAGGACAGTAAGATGGAAGTCAGCAAAATACCACTCATCGTCTGGTCACATGAACTACATACATCAATCGAAAAATAACATTTCTATAATCGCGTTATTGATGCATGTAAACACAGATAGTGATTCAACACATATTACATTAGGTTATTTGGATCACTAAGAAGTTGACACCAAGTTTTTTCACTAATTTTAAATGGAAATTATTCATTTTACAACAACATTTGTTGACATCAATGAGCGCCTTTTGCGTCCAGCTTCAGTTTCAGTTTGGAAAGGACAGGAGGCTTGATGGCCTGTGTTAGTTCTGGCAATCGTGTTCCCCCAGTTGATCCAACTTTCTTTCGAAAGAATCTACGGATGGAGCTTCAACCACGTGCTGAGGTAATGAATTCCACTCGTTGATGATTCAGTGGGAAAGTCGATAATCAGCTGACATGTAATTTGATCTGGGCTTGTGAGCTTTTTGGAGTGCCCTCGTAAATTCTCTGTTTTGGAAGACAAGAAAATTGAGGGCATATCAGATGTAAATTTATCACTAAGTAATTTGAAAACTGTAATCAAGTCGCATCTAGTTCTACGATATGACAAAGGGAATAGGTTTAGCTTGGTCAGTCGAGCATCATACGGAAGCTACGCTATTACGGGAATCAGCTTAGTTGCTGTTCTCTGGATATTTTCCAAACGCTCACCGTATTTTTTAAGCAGGGGCTAGCCGCTTGTATGCAGTACTCAAGTTTAGGACGTACGAACACTGTATACAAAGTCAAAAACGTTTGAGCGTCGACATGAGTAAAAGCCCTACGTATTGACCATAAAGTTCTAAAAGCTTTGGCGGCCATTACACGGCAGTGTGAAGTAGTCTTTAGATCTTGTCTAACGATGACTCCTAAGTCATCGTCTATGTATCTGTACCTTGATAACCGATATGCATCACAACACACTTGGAAGTATTTATCGGCAGCTGCCATGTATGAGACCATTCAGATAATTTCTTCAGGTCATTTTGAAGTTCTTAGCTATCACCCTTGCATCGTATCGTTCTCCATATCTTGACATCGTCAGCATATAGCAAGACCGATGATGATAGTAAGCGAGGAAGGTCATTTACATACAAGAGTAGTAGCTCTGGCTCCAAAACTGTACCCTGGGGTACTCCACTAAGCACAGTTTCCCAGCTAGATAACTTTGAGTTTACCCGTACTCTATTGGCGCCCAACAAAAAAGTCTTCTATCCACGTCAATAGATTGCCTCCAATTCCGACATTTTTTAGCTTATATAACAGCCGGTTGTGCGGAACCTTGTCAAAAGCTTTGCTGAAATCAATGTAAGCCACGTCTACACGTAACCTTTGGTCCTTAAAAGCGCACCAGCTTTCTCGAGTGACTAATAAGTTAGTGAGACAAAAATAACTTATTCTGAAACTGTGCTGTTTCTCCGAGAGGATTCGGTTTACATCGAGGTATTTAGACAGCTCTTTCCGAATAATGTTTTCTAACATTTTAACAACCACACTAGTTAGGCTAACGGGTCGGTAATTCCCAGGTTTATGTTTCGTGCCTATTTTGATGACAAGACTTACTATGGCGTTCTTCCAGTCTTTTGATAAACGACCCTGCGTAACGGATAGCTTAAAGCATATACTTAAAGGGTTCGCAATGAAGTTAGATAATTCCTTTAGTAGCCTATGGTGCAATTCATCGGGCCCCATGGATTTACTTATGTCAAGCTTATTTAGCAGACCAAAGACATCAAGTTCTTTAATAGTCACGCTATCCAGTGTATGTGTGGGAGGGTTATTATGCGCTGACGGGAAGGGTGCTTCTATGGTACATACATTGCTAAAGTAGTTTGAGAACACTTGATCCTTACCAAAGTCATCTTCCACTAATGACGAGGCAGTACTGTCTCCCCATAGTGCAGGAATATTTCCTCTTCTTTTTGTCCTTTGGTTTATATAGGAATACAAGCGTTTAGAACGTTCTATGGATTCCTTAACAATTTTTTCTTCGTACAGCTTTCTAGACTTACGGAGGGTCAATGCACGGGTATTCCTAGCTTTTCGATACTGAGATTTTGTCTCATCAGTCCCCAGTAACCTAAATCTATCCCACATTTTTCTTCTCTTACGGAGAAGGATGCGGACCTCCCTATTGAACCATATTGGGGAGTTTCTCGGCTCCCTTGGTATAGTCCAAGGAATGCAAGGTGCGGTAACTTTTAAGTATAAATTTCGGAACGCGTCCCAAGCCGTTTCAATTGAGGACTCTGGGTCTATTTTCCGATCTACTAACGATGCTGAGTGCATGATATCTGGTATGTTTGCATTCCGGACGTTAGGTCTGGATTGAGTTGACGCTTGCTAGTGATTGAAAGTTATAAAGAAGTCAAAAGTTAAAACTGCGTGATCACTTTTGCCTAGGGGTGGCATGTAAAGGAGGTTCGCAACGTCATCCTCAAAGTAAGTTAATATAAGATCAAGTACGGATGATTCAGTGTCCGGGCCGTACCTAGTCGCTTCTTTCACATGTTGCACTAGAGCACGTGTTATAACCGCATCAACTAGTTCCTGCTCGAAGGAATTATCCGACGATTCAGCCCGCAGATTTCCTGTCTACCATAGGCGCATCAAAATCCTCTAGGATTAAACATCGACCACTTTGCGACCAATTTTTCAGCCTGTTTAGCAGGACATCATTTACCTCACAGCTTGGACTGCGATAGACCGAACAAATCAGCAGCTCTTGCCCCTTGAATTTAAAGCGGCAACTAATCAGTTCACACGTCCCACTTTCATGGGATCCCCAGTCAATAATGACAAATGGGATATCATTCCTAATGAATAGAGCTACTCTTCCTCCTTTACGCTTATGTATTCTGTCGGTCCTTACTAAAGTAAAACCCTCAAAATCGAGTTCCATACTATCTGTAGACTGTGTCAGCCTGGTTTCTGTGACTGCGATTATATTTGGCTTTGTAGAGTCAATCTGTTCACCTAGTTCCGATCACTTATTGAGCGAGCTTCGGGCATTGGTGTAACAGATCCGAAGTCTATTTAAGTGGCTTCGAGCTTCACCCAAAGTGGCTTCGGCATCATTCTCCGACGAAGCCTCATAACCCGAAAATTTGTAATTTTTAGGTCCTTTTCTCCAGCGTCTAACCTAATTTGTAGTTCTTTTTCGGCTTCCCGCCTTTTTACACGGTCTGCCGATGGCAAGTTTTTTCCGATAAAAACTCCCGAACCTTTTAATTTATGTCCATTCTGTAAAATAAAGTCATTCGAAGATTTAAATACTACTTTAAGCAGTCTAGATTAATTAGGTTTCAAGTTCGCTAGAATACCTAGTCTAGGCATCTTTAGCAAGGTGACTCCGGAGATATTTTGAGGCATGAGTTGATTAAGTAGCTGTTTTATCAGGAAAATGTCATTACTCAAAACGAGTTTTTGGTTCAGAGCTTTCGCTCTCCTTGATCCTATGAAAAATGACTGATCTGTTACTGTGATCAGCCTTCGATTTTCCGAATACTTTTATAGGGGCATGGTTCCCTTTTATATCGTTATTTTGTTACTTCCTTACAACCTGTACCCATTCGTCAACGTTGCCTGGAGAAGCAACCACAGTCGCGTCAAACATACTGTGGGATTCTGGGGGGGTTTGATGACTTGGGAGGTCAGGTTATGTGTCCCACTAGAAACTGATCGAGCCTTGTGGTTGCGGCTTCTATGTGTTTTTTCTGGATAACATTTTGAAGACGTGGGAGAGAGGAAACTTTTTGCCTTGAGTTTTTAGTTCGTACAGACCTCTTTGGGGACTGTTCTCCCTCCTTTGGTCGGTGCGAGTCATCTGTTTTCGAACTCACTCGAGTTTGCTTCACGTGTCGATAGAGCGAGTACTTGTTGATGTGTCGCGATCACTCTTGCCAAAACATTTTTTAGCAGCACTAACCAATGAGATGACCTCAGTTAGCAATAACGGAAAGTATTCCGTTTCTGTTGTCGCACTGGAATATTTAACCACTTCTAAGTAAACACACTCTCACTTGCCTTGATAGCAAACAAACTAAATAACAAATTTAACAGTACTAAACATACCAATGTTCACCAGCCAGTTCTTACAGAATTGGTTAGCCGACTTTGAACAACAGTTTTTTCGAAAACCCGAAGACAGGTGGTGCTGTAGAGGAAGATTAGATGATAAGAAAAATCATTAAGTGCTTCTACAGCAGCCTAGAGGTTCAATGATTACATTACCTGGGACTGGAAACATAACTTCACTTAGATCTGAAGATCGTAGTTCTAACTGGAACGCGGAAATTCTCCGACACCACAGACGAACTGACCCAGGAATATGTCGCACCTTTCCGATGTTATGGAATGGACAAAACAGATGGAGTAGTGATGTGCGCCAATAGCCACTGCACAGGCATAACACCATACAGTACAGAACTAACCGAAGTGACAGAATCATGGTGGTGATGCTACAGTGCGAACAGCGCAAAGTGCTTGACTAAAAGAATAAATCCGACCTCCCACAGGTTCTATCACCCAAGAAGATAGGGAAGCCCAGGAGATATTAAGATCGTCACACCCGCATTTTGAACAAATACCACTAGCTGCAGGCTCAAATAATCCGTCCATATGTAACATCAAGTGGAAAATAATAAATATATATAAAGGCTCCATAATCGGCTTGTCACAACCCTTATGAGTTCATGAGAGTCTTAATATGTTGATTGCAGGAACAATGAGTGAAAGCCATCAGTACGCCGGTACACGACTTGTTCGGGCACTCACTGGAAATACGCCAACATTCATGAGAGTGGAAACAGACTACTTGCTCTCCGATCTACAGAGGAGGTGTTAGAAGTGACACAGCTTGTTGCAAGTCAATCAAATTACTGTGAATACAACGGAAGGTAATGGATGGACTGGTCAACAAACAAGTGAAAGAATGCATAGATAAAAACACCCTCCATGAAGACCAACAAAGGGAAAGCAGGTTCAAAACATTCACGCTAGCTGGCGAGCCTAAACATCAG